AGGGGGGGATGGGGTCGGCTAAAAGGAAGGAGGGGGGTTGGAGGGGGTGGTAAAGGGAGGTTTTCACCTCCAGAAACCTATCCAACACGCCGCCAGGGTCGGCGGACCCTAACCCTAAACCCCAAACCCTAGACCCTAAAGCCTAAACCCTAAACCCTAAACCCTAAACCCTAAAATTTAACTTGTTGTCACTGTGTTGTCACTTGGTGATTTTGGGGTCGCTTTTTGACAGCATCCCTAGGCTGTCCATTTCACACCACAGCAAGTTCGTACACGTTAAAAAAAACTTGTGGCCTTCATTGCAATAAGATGGTCCAAAGGGCTTGCAGAAGTAGCCTCTCCGGAAGTGCAGACATCTCCACTCTTTAGTTGTGGCTGTGAACCCTGAACCCTAAACCCTAAACCCTAAACCCTAAACCCTAATTCTGGCAGGAGATGATGTTGCCGCAGCAAATGGACTGTTCAGCACAGATGGAGTGACGGAGCCATCTCATGAAGGCGCTGGCTAGGGTTTAGGGTTTAGGGTTTAGGGTTTAGGGTTTAGGGTTTAGGGTTTAGGGTTTAGGGTTTAGGGTTTAGGGTTTAGGGTTTAGGGTTTAGGGTTTAGGGTTTAGGGTTTAGGGTTGTGCCTGGCGTTTTCATTATTATCATCTGTAGGGAGTGGTTGCCATGTATGTCGTCATTGGACTGAACTTTTCCGCAGACTTGATGACATCAAAGATTCACCCACTGCACCAGTAGCTGGTACTACATGGAACTACATCAACAGATCTTCCAAGTGAGCTGTGCGGCTTTACTTTATATCTCCTGCCACATGTGGATGCAAATGGCAGACGATAAGTTTTGACGCCTTGCTTCCCAACCAACTTCCTCCGTCGCTTCATGCTGTCCACCTTCCAGCAGCTTCCAGCTTAGCTAAACCCTAAATCCTAAACCCTAAACCCTAAACCCTAAACCCTAAAACCCAAAACCCTTTTTTCCTCTCAAAAAACGGCCGTCGTCTGCTGCGCATCAGGTGGCAACGAGTCTTTTTGCGTCAGGGAGCGGAAGGAGACGGAGAGAGTTCTGCGGGAGATGGGCTTCAAAGGTGCCGAGCCTGTGTTGCCGTGGGGGTTTGGCTTGGAGGGTTTAGGGCCTAGGGTCCATATAGCAACCAAACAAAATAAGAATTGCCGGATCTGCCGTATCCTGCTACTGGGAAGTTCTTGCAAGACAGCCTGACAAAGCATCTACTCGATACCAGCAGCGGTACTATGCTACAAGATGTTCCAAACGGAAGGGTCTTGCAGGTTTGACCACATGTTCTGATGAGCTGTGAACTGCAGGTTGCATCATTCAGGTGCACTAGAGGGACACCATTGCAGCTGGCGCGGCATCAAGTGCTACTCTCCGGAGAAGTGCCCGGTGGACACGGAGGAAACTTGGCCTTGTGATTTTCACTTCTTTTTGAGCTGTTCACTTGTGGCGAATCTGCCTTGTCACCGGGATCCATTGATCTTTGTTGGTTTTTATCCCAAGCAAACCTAACTTAATTCTCTTCTAGTGCGTGGATTCATTTGTGAGGTTGTTAGGACTCGGTGTTCCGTGGCCTCGGCGTGTGATCTTCGCCATTGCGGTTTAGCTTGTGGGAACCCCTCTATGTTCCGGGACAGGGAAGTTGGTGATTCTCAGGATTCCTGGATTCCTTTGTGTTTTTGTCAGCCAAGGAACGCAAGTGCTGCGCTGTTGGTGGCCTCCAGTGCAGCGAATGCGGCGGGCACCTGCCAGAACGGATTGGATGGGAACACCTTGAACTTGCAGCTCGGACCAATCTGTTTGGGCCAGAGATTAAGGTGGAACGAAGTGATGTTGGCAGAGTGGATTCATGATGACACTTGAGGCAGAAGAGGGTTTTTGCTGATTTATGCGGTTGAAGGAAATGAAACAGCGTTTGGACGAAAGCAAGTGACGCACGTGAGCCGCATGTGTCGTAAAGCTGTCACTTGTGTGGGATGGAACGATGGAAAGGATGGGACAGGCCGGTGGGAAGCCACTCTGACGGTTGCGCTTGAGAACTTGCTTGGAGGTTCATGGTACTTACTCACCACTTATAACTGGCCTTCTAACCCTACTTATCATTGGGAGAACCCCTCTAAGGCCTGTTAGGGGTATGATAAATAGGGCTATAAGTAAGTTGTAAGTCCCCTAAAGGGCCTTATAATTGGGATAACCCCTCTAAGGCCCTTTAGGGGTATGATAAGTAGGGCTATAAGTAAGTTGTACGTAGGGTTTTTTAACGTTAAAAAACCCTAAGGTTTTTAGGGTTTAGGGTTTTTTAACGTTAAAAAAACCCTAAGGTTTTTAGGGTTTAGGGTTTTTTTAACGTTAAAAAAACCCTAAGTTCGTAAGTACCATGAACCTCCAAGTGAGGTGGAAGCGATGAACTCGCCGAAGCTCACCGGCGACCTCGGCGCTTTCAAAGGCCTAAGCCCCAAGCCCTAAGCCCTAAACCCTAAACCCTAAACCCGAAACCCGAAACCCTAAACCCTAAACCCTAAACCCTAAACCCTAAACCCTAAACCCTAAACCCTAAACCCTAAACCCTAAACCCTGTCAAAGGCCTGGAGAAGCTGCAGAGGGTGCTCCTCTCCAACACCCAAGTGGCCGGAGACCTGAAAGTCTTCCGAGGCATGAATAATCTGTTGCTTGGTAGCTGAGTGGTACCCTTTTGCCCGTTTTACGGGTTCGGGGCTCCCTTTATACAATACCCTAAACCCTAAACCTTAAACCCTAAACCCTAAACTCAGGGCCTAGGCCGCCCCCCTACAGAGGGGGGGCGGCGCTTAAGCCCCTGTATGCGGCTGAAAGCCGTGCTACAAACGAGCCGGGACTTGGCCTCAAACCTTTCCCTTGGCTGAAAGTGGCCATCAGTGACGGAAAGGTTTTTTCGCCTCGGACGGTGTGGGGTGGGAGCATGGCCCTCCGCAATCGGGCCAGAGCTGCTCTTCGCACCTGACGAGGCATTCCGCTGCTGCATCCTAACCTTCACAGCATCTACGCCCTATTACAGCAAACCCTAGACCCTAAACCCTAAACCTTAAACCCTAAACCCTAGCCCTAAACCCTAAACCCTAAACCCTAAACCCTACCAAGGTTGACGGTCAACCTCTCCCACACCGCGGTGTCCGGAGACATCCAGGTCTTCCGAACGACCGCGGAGCTCCGAAAGCTGCACCTGGCGCAGTGTGGGGAGGTCCGGGTTTCGGGTGTAGGGTTTAGGGTTTAGGGTTTAGGGTTTAGGGTTTTAGGGTTTAGGGGAGGTCTCGGGAGACCTGCTGGCCTTGGCTCCGCAGCCGCTCTACGAGGCCGACCTCTCGAGCACGGCGATCCAGGGCTCTTTGGAGGAGTTCCTGGGTTTAGGGTTTAGGGTTTAGGGTTTAGGGTTTAGGGTTTATGGAGGAGTTCCTGGGCGACGACTTCAACGGAGAGGGCTTTTCAGAGAGCAAGTACCATCTGAGGCTTGTGAAGTTCCTTGGTAGCTGAGTGGTACCCTTTTGTGCCCTTTTTAAGGGTTCTGGGCTCCTTTATAAAAATGAGCAACCCCAACAAGGGTACCCTTATTATAAGATGGCTACCCTAAACCCTAAACCCTAAACCCTAAACCCTAAACCCTAAACCCTAAACCCTAAACCCTAAACCCTAAACCCTAAACCCTAAACCCTAAACCCTAAACTCTAAACCCTAAACCCTAAACCCTAAACCCTAAACCCTAAACCCTAAACCCTAAACCCTAAACCCTAAACCCTAAACCCTAAACCTTGATAGAAATGAGAGCAACCCCAAGGTTCGGCTCCACGAAGGTCACTGGCAACCTCAGCCGGCTGACGGCCCTGAGGTATGTCGAGGAGGTGGACTTCTCCGACACGAAGGTCGCTTGGCTAAGGTGTGTCGTAGATCCTAGTCCCATCAACAGTACAGCTTCGCTGAGTTTTCTTTCAAGAAAAGAAGGTCGCTGGTGGAGTCACCAAGGGGTGGTGTGGACGCCTGGCTGATCGCTGCAGAGCTTTCACTACTTGCAACTTTTGGTTTGGTGTGTGTGTGTGTGTTCTTTTCATTGTCTGGAAAAACTGTCCATCTCGCGAATCTCGCAAGCCTCGCTTCGGAGAAATGTATGCCGTCCTTCATGTTCTCATTCTTGGCACTGGCGTTTGTCAAACCCTAAACCCCTAAACCCTAAACCCTAAATTTAAGAGCCTCCGGCTCAAGCCACCGACCCCGCAGGAGAACAAGTTTAAGGTTTGGGGTTTGTTTGCGGTTCCTGTTGGGGGGGGGGGGTAGGGGGGTGGGGGGGGGGGGGGGGGGGGTGGGGGGGGGTGGGGGGTGGGGGGGTGGGGGGGGGGGGGTGGGGGGGGGGGGGTGCAGGGCGGGGGAGGGGTTTTTTCCAAAAGAGCCCCTATGCCCTGTGCGAAAACGCCTATGGTCCATGAGTTTACGCGGTGTGGGTGGCCTGTTCCTCCACGGGTACCCCCCCATACCCCCCCCCCGCGTTTTGGGGGGGTGAGGAGGGAAAGAGGGAGGTTTTCACCTCCTTTTCCCATCCAACAGGCGGACCCTAAACCCTAAACCCTAAACCCTAAACCCTAGACCCTAGACCCTAAACCCTAAACCCTAAACCCTAAACCCTAAACCCTAAACCCTAAACCCTAAACCCTAAACCCTAAACCCTAAACCCTAAACCCTAAACCCTAAACCCTAAACCTTCGAGGAAAGCTCCAGGACCTCAAGACTTTGCAGTTGACCAATTCTTCTGTGCACTGGTCGCCCAGCAGTGAGGACCTCGCAGCCTTGCAGGTGAAGCGCATCCTGCCGCGCTTGCAGAGCTTGGACATTAGCAATAGCCCCGTGGCTTGCAACATAAGTTGTGGAAAGAGTGGCTTGCAATGGTTTCAGCCCAGGGAAGAATGGTGAGAGAATCACCAGTAACACAAGTCGTGTTTTTTTCTTTAAGATTTTTGATTTTCATGTATTCTCTGTGTCTTTGCACGGATTTGGCCCGAGGTCCAGCCAATAGCCATGTGGGGCGCTTGCTAGTGCCTTTGAGGAACTGCAAATTTTTGACTGAGATCAAAGCAGTGAACGCAGGTCTTTATGGGGAGATTCCCAAAGTGCAGAATGGTGAGATCCACCTGCAAAATCTCACTTTCAAATATGCAGCTCCCCTGCAGTTGCTTGACCTCTCCAGCAACAACATCACGGAGCTCTGGGGTGTGCCAGTCCTCCCGCGCATCGGACGCCTCCAGTTGCGCCGGAACCATGTGCTGAAGATGAGGCCAGGCTTGCTGACGGAGGTGGTGAACTCCAACATCATCATAGACCTCTCAGAGACCCAGTTGGCAAACAAAGAGGAAGCAGCCCAGCTCCTCGCAAGAGGCGCCCTCACAAGCACCGCCGAGCCTGCGCTGCGAGACGAAGACCTCGGGTTTGCTTGCAAAGACATCATCGGCGCAGTCCGCGTGACACCAAGCAAGTTTTTGCCGGATGAGCTTTGTGAATGCCTTCCCGGCTGGCATGGACGCGGGGCGAGGTGCCAGAAGTGTCCGCCAAATACGTACAATGAAGAAATGGGGCGAAGGGAATGCTCCAAGTGCCCAGACAGCAGCGCTGCCCCTGAAGGTTCAGCCAAGGAAGCCGATTGCCAGTGCGCTTTTGGCCATTTGCACCACGGCAAGTGTGAGTGCGACCAGCACGAAGCCCTGCAGAATGCCACCTGCACCGTTTGCAGCAAGCTTCATCTGAATTGCAGCGACAAGGGAAGCATTGCGTCCACTGCAGTTCCTCAGTTGGGGTACGCACGTCTTGAGGCACTCGCAGAGGAGGCTCGCAAGTGCCTTCCACCCGCGGAGGGGGAGCGTTGCCCTGGCAGCCAGAGGTGTGGCGCTGGATACACGGGCACCCTGTGCAGCAGCTGCAATGATCGCTTTTGGGCTAGAAGAGGCCGGTGTGAGTGCCTTGGAAATCGTTCTTAATAGTTGACTTTTTCCAGCGTGAGCCTTAACATGCTCCTGACTCTGGACTCGAGCGGGTTGACAGGGCCCTTACGTCCCACAATCAGTTGACGACTACTGAAACGCGCCCAGTAAACTTGATCTGATCTTGATTTCCTTCAACTCTCCATCTTGAGATTTTGGCGTCCCCAAAGACGCCTTAAATGCAGGAATATACCTTAAATCATATTCGGGATCCTACAATAATTTAAGGTATATCCCTGAAATTAAGGGATATTGGAGTCTCTGGGTCACTGAGGCCCTGCGCAGAGACTAGCACGACGTGGATTTGGTCGCTTGGGCTTCTGGGAGTCGCCACGTTGATCCTCGGCGCCTTCCTCGTCTACCGGAAGATGCACGAAGTGCAGGTTCCGCCACCACCCACCGCACCTCGGTTCCCAGAGACTCCAACATCCCTGAATTGAGGGATATACCTTAAGTCATAGTAGGATCCCTAATATGATTTAAATGATTTAAGGTACATTCCTTAGTTTAACGGATATTGGCGTCTTTGGGTTCATGAAGCTGACGAGTTCCTTTCATAAGCCTGATCGGACGGATTGGGCAAAGGCTCGGCTCACTTTCGCACTCGATACATTTTTTGGTCATGTTCAGATGGATGTGTCGGATGTCTATGTGGGTGGATGTCAAAATTATGATTCCTTTTAGGGTACCCTAAATATTAGGTGCCGTATTAAAATAGGGATCCAAAAAGGGACCCTAATTTTGACAACCACCCATGTGTTTTTCAAAGACGTGCTCAGCCAAGGCCAAGAGTTTAGCGCTGAGGCTCATTGCGTTGCAGGGCCCAGTCTTGCTGCAAACGGCACAGCTGTGGGGGGTTCTCAGCCGCCTGGGCCGAGCCCCTTCCACCCAAAGACAAGTGGAGATTCCATATTTGGAAACTTGGGGCGTTTTGATCAGAAAGTGCTTGCTATGTTTTCTTTAAACTTCTGGATGTTTGCGGGAACACCATTCTCCGCAAATTAGCTTGTTCGCTTGAAATGTTGGATCAGATGTGGATGGTTGATATACGATGATATACGTACGTAAGTGTCAGGTATGTGGAGTTCTCTCAAAGCCAAACCCTAAACCCTAAACCCTAAACCCTAAACCATAAACCCTAAACCCCAAACAGTTTGTGAAGACCTGGAGCCGAGGAAGGTCTGCAGCTCACGGCGACCCAGCTTCAGAACTCCTTGAACCTTCAGTGCAACTTCCACGCCGACACCATCCGGACGCTGTCGGCTCTGACTTCCCCATTGGTGCCATTGGTGTTGCTTCTTGGTGGAGTAGATGGAAGTGTCCGATCTGAGCATGAGTCGCACACCAAGACATGGGCCAAAGTGAAGCTTTAGGGTTTAGGGGTTTGGGCTTGGGGTTTAGGGTTTAGGCCAGAAGTTCATGGACATTGCACCCAGGGGTAATCTTGAGGTTTGCTGCAGCCGTTTCTTTGATTCTGCATGAGGCTTGCTTGCTGCGCAGCACTGGAGCCGTTCCAAGCTGGCCTGGGCGTCAGCTTGGCTGAACGTGTCCGATGTTCAAGTTCTTGACAGTTTAGGGTTTAGGGTTTAGGGTTTAGGGTTTAGGGTAGTTCGATGCAAGCAATGTGAAGTTGTTTTTGTTCATGTTTGGGTGTGAGTCATCATGTTGAAGTTTCGGCTTCACGCAATTGTCATTGCTGTCGATGGTTCTCAGGGCGCAGTGAATGGAAAGGTGAAAGCAGGTGGTGGAGCAAAACATGAAAGAAGTGGTGAAAAGACGTGGTGCAAGACGGGGTGAAAGAAAACGGGTGTAAGAAATGGCCAGATGAAGCAGCTTGCAAGACAAGATGAGGTCAGTATGGCGCTGAAGACCCTCACCTTTCTGTTCATTGGCGGTGCATCTGCCACTGCCCAGCTACTGAGCTGCCAGTCAACAGACGGAGGTGCGCCGGACATTCTGTGAGTGGTCAGTGACCCATAGCATCGAATCAAGCCACGGTTTAGGCTTTAGGGTTTAGGGTTTAGGGTTTAGGGTTTAGGGTTTAGGGTGTTCCCGAATTACAGAAGAATAAGTTAGCAGTGTGCTGTTCGTATCCAATTCAGACAATTGAGCTGCACTTCATGATGCACGGGTTTAGGGTTTAGGGTTTAGGGTTTAGGGTTTAGGGTTTAGGGTTTAGGGTTTAGGGTTTAGGGTTTAGGGTTCTTCAACAAACAACAACACGTATCCGAATGTTCGATTCCGACTTCCTTTCTTGAGCACAGAGACGCCCGCCCCACAAGACTCAGATGATCTGTGGGTATTGCGGTCGTCTTCTTAGTTTCTTTTTGGTTCCCCCGATTGCAACAGTATAAGGATTCTTGCAACTACCCTAAACCCAAAACCCTAAACCCCAAACCCTAAACCCTAAACCCTAAACCCTGAACCCTGAACCCTGAACCCTGAACCCTGAACCCTAAACCCTAAACCCTAAACCATGCTAGCTGGGGTCCCATGCTGGGACAATTTTTTGTGACTAGGTAGGTCTCCTTGATTCAGCCAATGTCTAAGCAGTGGTGACTTGTTTTGTTGGTTTGGAAATTCTGGCCTTGCTGGCAGCAAGAAACTTCCTCGGATTCCAAGCCGCCAACTCCAAGCCAAATTAACCACCGGTTGATGGGTTCCCAGCTGGTTTGTTCATGCATGCGCAAGAAGTTTCTCTTCTTTCCATCGCCCCTGTCTGGTCACCCTGGCAGATGGCGAAAGCCTTGGCGACTTCGCATTTCGCAAGTCTTTCCAAAAGCTTCGCTGCAACGACAGCAGTGGCCTGGGGGTCGATGTGGTTGGCTACAGCTCCTTGTTTTTCTTCTGGTTGGCTCTTAGGACTTTAGCTCTTTTTTTTGCTTTGGTCGAAAGTACAACAAGGAGCCTAAAAGTTAAATGTTTAGGAGAGGTTCAGAAGTCAGCCCAGGCGCTGCTGCGGCCTATGGCATTTTGATTCCTCTCTTCCTGGTCCCTGGGCTTAGGGTTTAGGGTTTAGGGTTTAGGGTTTAGGGCCTGGGCTGCAAGACTTGCAAGAAGGGCAGGGTGCGGTTGAGGATGGGCGATGCCTGGGTTTTGGAAGCCTAGGCGCCAAATGGATCGTGGCTTGAAATCTTGTCTCAAAGCAAGGGAGCGAGCATCAAGACCTTTTGAGAAAGAAGCGATACACAGAGTTTTGACTCGGTCCTGGCTGAAGTCTTGTTCAGTTGAGCTTAGTTTGGGCCGAACCCCAAGCTGGGGAACAAAAAGGCCGGGCTTTCACACGTAGAACGCCTGCTTTGACAGCTGTGTTTCCGAAGGGTTTCCTCAGAAACGCATCTCACCCCATTCTTGGATTGTTTAAAAAAGCACGAAGTGTGAGGCCTGGCTCTTGGTGCGGCAGTGGCTTGTCGGCAGCCAGAGATCTTGCATACGTGCCATCACAGGGAGCTATTTCCAGTTTGACCGCGCTCGTGGAACTTTTACCGCCTGATTTTACATGGAGACGGAGTCATTTTTCTTTCACATAGCTTTTTGAAGAACAAACCCTAAACCCAAAACCCAAAACCCAAAACCCTAAAGCCCTAAAACCCTAAAACCCTAAACCTTAAACCCTAAACCCTAAACCCTAAGCCCTAAACCCTAAACCCTAAGCCCTAAACCCTAAACCCTAAACCCTAAGCCCTAAACCCTAAACCCTAAACGAGGTACTTGGCCCTACAGGATGCCCGACTCTTCACTGCCCATGCAGACGTCACAGCGCGCAGCACGGCGTTGCAGATCCAGATGTTGCACCTTTGTCATAGGGTTTAGGGTTTAGGGTTTAGGATTTAGGATTTAGGGTTTAGGGTTTAGGGTTTAGGGTTCAGAGGTTGGGTAACATTTTTTACACTTTTAAGGTACTTAAACCCAATAAGGAATCAACAGTCAGATTTTTAAATATTGTCCCAACAATGACCGAGGCACGGCGAGCCGCCGAAGGAGAGTCTTCCCAGACGACTGGTGGTGGCTTGGCTGCGCAAGGGTTCAGATGCATGGTGGTTTCCGGAGTTTAGGGGAATCTCAGCTTGAGCTTGGATGGGCACCCATCCTAACCAGGAGACTTTGGGACATGATGTAACTGTTCAGGGATACTGTTGGTATCGGCTCTCCCTCGAAACCAGCAGTTTCGAGCTCCCTGTACCCTAAACCCTAAACCCTAAACCCTAAACCCTAAACCCTAAACCCTAAACCCTAAACCCTAAACCCTAAACCCCAAACCCTAAACCCTAAACCCTAAACCCTAACCCTAAACCCTCCACAGGTGGCGGCAGCTGCTCACCTGGCCGTATTTTGCCGGGGCAAGTGGCGCATCAAGCTGCAGGGAGACATGGTGATCCTCACCGCGGAAGAGCATCTTTGTCATAGGGTTTAGGGTTTAGGGTTTAGGGTTCAGAGGTTCAGAGGTTGGGTAACATTTACATTTTTAAGGGTACTTAAACCCAACAAGGAGTATAAATTCAAATTTTTAAGATTATCCCAACAATGAACAAGGCATGAGGACGTGGAGGTCGAGAAAGTGGATGCTATGAGATTCATGGCAGATGCACAAGCATTGAGAAAGTTGGATATGCTGCTCGGATGGATTCAGATGGGTTTGGCTGAGTGTCTCGAGGAACAACTTCTCTGTTCACACCTCACTCTTGGTGCAACGGCTGATACGGCTGTGCTTTTTTTCTCTCAACTTGTCCCAATCAGTTTACATCTGAGTTATAATAGTTCATAATATTTAACTTATAATATATATATATATATATATGCTACACCCCCCATGTACCTACCCTTTTGGGCTGAATTCATAGAATATTCTGTATTTCTCCCCATCTCTCCCCTCCCCCCAAGATCCCGCAACGCGCGGTCGTTTTCTTTGGGGAGCTCCCATAACAATCTATTCTAGCAGAAGTGACCTGAACAATTTGCTCGTGGATTGCATGCTTGTGAGTTTAATCAGGAATCCAATTTATTCGAATAGGGTTCCGATCAAATTTAATAAATGGGGTTCATAGGATTCATTGCATTTTAATAGGATTCTTATGAAAATGAATAGGAAACCCTTGAAAATGAATGAGAACCCTGAATACTAATAAATTCAATAGGAACCCTATTGAAATGAAAAAGAACCCGACTTAAATTGATAGGAATCTTATAAAATGTGTAGGAGCTTTACTAAAACAAATGGGACAACTTGATGGAATCCTATAAACAACAATGGGAATCCTCTATTTGAATCCATAGGAACCCTGTTTCAAATTAATCGGCGCCGTAAAGTCAATAGGCAGCCTCTTCCGATCAAATTTAATAAATGGGGTTCATAGGATTCATTGTATTTTAATGGGATTCTTATGAAAATGAATAGGAAGCCCTTGAAAATGAATGAGAACCCTGAATACTAATAAATTCAATAGGAACCCTATTGAAATGAAAAAGAACCCTACTTAAATTGATAGGAATCTTATAAAATGTGTAGGAGCTTTACTAAAACAAATGGGACAACTTTATGGAATCCTATAAACAACAATGGGAATCCTCTATTTGAATCCATAGGAACCCTGTTTCAAATTAATCGGCGCCGTAAAGTCAATAGGCAGCCTCTTAAAATGAATTGGAGGCTCCTCATAAACTTATGAGAATCCTCGTAGAATTAACAGGAATCCTGTTGCATAGGAACCAACCGGACTCCTGTAAAGAAAATGTGAACCTTTAGAAAAATAACAACGAACCCGATTAAAATGAACATGAGTCTAAACCATAGGAATCCCTTGAAAGTGAATGAGATCCCCTTTAATATTAACACGAACCCCATTAACATGAATAAGAAACTGATTAAAATTGATAGGACTCTTATTACAAAACAATAGGAGCCTTATTAATAATTCGGAACTCTATGAAACTTTTTCTGGAATCCTATGAAGATAAATAGGAATCTTCTATTGAATTATCGGAACCGGACAACAGTTAATAGGAAGGAAGCCTATTAAAATGAATGGCAACCCTAAACAAATCAAAAAGACCCCGAATTACAATTCACAGGAATCCTATTAAAACGAGAAGGAATCTTTCTACAATCAATAGGAACCAACAGGCCGAAAAAACAATAGAATCCAAAAACAAGAACTGATAGGAATCCTACTAAACTAATATGAGCCTAATCCAATAGGAATCCTGTAGAATTAATGAGAACCCTATGCGAATCCCAGTAACATGAGTAAGAATCCTGTTTAAATTGATAGGAACCCGGGGGATGATTGTTTGAGATATGGTGGCTAAGGTATAGTTTTTGGATAGATGGCATGTCTTGCGTATTGGGGCGTGATTGATTATATGGAGGTTTTTGTACTCGAGAATTTGCAGGATTCGAGTTTGTTGCTTGGTACTACCTAGAGAAATTTTGGCTGGGAGAGAGCCTCAGATCACGAAAATCACGGATAACATTGGTTTTCCCAATGTTTTTCAAGGATGGAGCCCAAAAACATCGGCAAAACCGATAATTTCCAAAAAACCCATGGTTTTCAAACCATGTGGCTGGGAGCACCCAATTCACGGATAACATTGGTTTTACCAATGTTTTTGAAGGATGGAGCACGAAAACATCGGCAAAACCGATAATTTCCAAAAAAACCCATGGTTTTCAAACCATGTGGCTGGGAGCACACAATTCACGGATAACATTGGTTTTACCGATGTGTTTGAATGATTGAGCCCGAAAACATCGGTAAAACCAATGTTACCCATAAAATCCATGGCTCTCAAACCATGTGGCTTAGACCACGAAAGGCATGGATAACATTGGTTTTGCCGATGTTTTTTGGGCTCTATCCTTCAAAAACATCGGTAAAACCAATGTTATCCGTGAATTGGGTGCTCCCAGCCACATGGTTTGAAAACCATGGATTTTATGGGTAACATTGGTTTTACCGATGTTTTCGGGCTCTATCCTTCAAAAACATTGGTAAAACCAATGTTATCCGTGAATTGTGTGCTCCCAGCCACATGGTTTGAAAACCATGGGTTTTTTTGGAAATTATCGGTTTTGCCGATGTTTTCGTGCTCCATCCTTCAAAAACATTGGTAAAACCAATGTTATCCGTGAATTGGGTGCTCCCAGCCACATGGTTTGAAAACCATGGGTTTTTTGGAAATTATCGGTTTTGCCGATGGTTTTGGGCTCCATCCTTGAAAAGCATTGGGAAAACCAATGTTATCCGTGAGTTTCGTGCTCCCAGCCACTCTTCCCTCGTCGTTCGCGTGAGCAGAATACGAAAATCGAAGCCGTCGAGACAAAACAAATCAACCAAATAAGCAAAACATGGTAGGTACATGGGGGGGGCACCATATATATATATATATATATATACATATAAACCCTAAACCCTAAACCCTAAACCCTAAACCCTAAACCCTAAACCCTAAACCCTAAACCCTAAACCCTAAACCCTAAACCCTAAACCCTAAACCCTAAACCCTAAACCCTAAATGCGCTGGCTCTGGACCCAGGCTGAGGAGCCGCAGAATCGCCGAGATGCTGACAGAGCGGGCCATGCTCCAAGAAGCGACGGCTGCTCGGATTCGCAGCGCTTTTGGGGTTTAGGGTTTAGGGTTTAGGGTTTAGGGTTTGGGGTTAGGGTTTAGGGTTTAGGGTTTAGGGGGCAGCTGAGTGGTGCCCTTTTGTGCCCTTTTTGGGCTTCTGGGGTTCCTTTATAACAATGAGCGCAACCCCAGAAAGGGTACCCTGATTATAAGATGGTTGCTCGGATTCGCAGTTTTCAAGAGGGTGTAGACGCTTTATATCCGGTGTTACAGCGTTGCAAGCATTTTGTTTTTGTACTTGTTTGGTTTTGACGAGGTCTTCACACTTGTGTTTCCATGGAGGCAGCCGCACCTTGTGCTGTTTTTCTCTTATGATTTCCCGATCAGCAAAGCAAAGGATGGTTTGCTCGTTGGCGCCCGACCGCTGTTGTGCAAGTACTCTCTCTCCCAGGACCTTTGTCATAGTTGGGTAACATTTTACAATTTTTAAGGGTACTTAAACCCAATATGGAATATAAATGCAAATTTTTCATATGATCCCAACAATGAACAAGGGGCGGGGAGCACTGCTCTTGGTTGGCTAAGAACAGGTGCAGCATCATCCCTCATGTTCTTTAGGCCTACAGGCCTACAGATGCGGCCCCAAAACATGAGCTCTCCCTACCCTAAACCCTAAACCCTAAACCCTAAACCCTAAACCCTAAACCCTAAACCCTAAACCCTAAACCCTAAACCCTAAACCCTAAACCCTAAACCCTAAACCCTAAACCCTAAACCCCAATAAACCCTAAACCCCAATAAACCCTAAACGTTTCTCCGACCTGAAGACTTGCTGAAGACTCACTGAAAACCTGCGACAGAAGACCATGGACTGAACACTTCGACATTTTCCGCCCACCGAAAATTAGGGTTTAGGGTTTAGGGTTTAGGGTTTAGGGTTTAGGGCTTAGGGTTCAGGGGTAGCTCACATGAGGCTACAATCCCATGCAATCCCTGGTAGGATGTTTGGATGGAAGTAGCCATGAAGCTCTTCGCCGTGGCGCTTGTGTCTTGTGTGTCCATGTCGGACGCATGGAAATGGGCTATTGCCTTTAGCCTGGGCATGGCTGTGTTGGTTGGTGTCTCCCAGCCGTACATGCAGCCGCAGGCACAGTCAACAGCTTCAGATGAGTTGCAGACCAGACAAAGGTTCAGGGGTTTGGGGTTTAGGGGTTTAGGGGTTTAGGGGTTTAGGGGTTTAGGGGTTTGGGGGTTTGGGGGTTTAGGGGTTTAGGGTTTAGGGTTCAGGGTCCAGGGTCACAGAATACCAAGCATTTGAGTGTCCCGTCTGAGACCTAGGCTTACGTCTTGAGCCTCCGATGTCCTCATTCCTCTTGAGAACTCTCAAAGCGGACCATGGGCCCCAGCCATTCTACAGCTTCCCCCCCCCTCAAGAACCCACTGACCCTGCCATGAACTATCATGAAGACCAGGCCAAACTCAGGACCCAACATGCCAAAGCCACAACAATTTCTTACAACTTCCATCAACTTCCTACACTCCGGGTCATCAGGAACTGAAGAATTCGCCACTGCCGCAGGTGAGTCAGTTGCAGAGCTTCAGCTGTTTCTGCTTGGCCTTGTCTTCGGCTGCCTTCGTCTATGACAAGTTTGCCTGGCTTACGCGCGTGGGGCTTCTGGCACCAGTTCTGCTGCTGCTGTGGCAGGCCCAGCGGAAGGAAATCCCGTGCTTGTTGGTCATGTGTGTAACATCTAGATGCATGTCATGATTTCCAAAAATAGTCAGACTGCGGAAGACATCCATTGAAAAAGCTTGCTTTGGCAGGGGATGTCAACTTGATTTCACAGCGTAAAACTGATGTGTGCTTCACATCCAAAGAACAAGGTAGGAGCCAGCCAGAGCCAGTGGTCCAAATTCTGAGGACAATATGGACTCCAAAAGACCACTAGATTTTTTTGTTCACCCAGTCAGCAAGCGCGAGGGTCCAAGGGATTCCAATAGGACTTGATGATCGGCCTGGACTCACAAATGCTTGTCAGACATACGCGTTGAGTCTGCCATTAGTGGAGTCCCCAAAGATTACTCATCATTCAACTGGGGTATAATAATAGCAATTGTTGGTTAGTAAGGAAACTTCTGATTCCTGCGATCATGATCCAAGTACGTTGCTTGTTGCAAGACTAGTGGAATTTTGCCTGCGAACCCACTGATTGAACATCCAGCAATGTGAGGGTCACGTGGTTTCTCGATGCTTCTTTTCTCAAAACTTGTCCATTTTCAACCAAGACTTTGGCCACTTTCGCTTGACATGGCATGGTTTGCTCAGCTACTGGCATATTCACTGCCAGCCCACCTCCACGGTCATGCCACGCGATCGAAGTTTTCCATAGTTTTCCCATGGCAGATGACCGCCATGAAGACCTCTGTGTGTCACGAACACGTTGAAGTCTCGTGGATTTCCCCTAAACCCTAAACCCTAAACCCTAAACCCTAAACCCTAAACCCTAAACCCTAAACCCTAAACCCTAAACCCTAAACCCTAAACCCTAAACCCTAAACCCCAAACCCTAAACCCTACTCCAGAAAGCCACTTACAGAGAGAATGTGGGGCGTCAGGTGCGCTGCCCGGACTGCGCCGAAGAGTCGGCCGAACGGCTCGTCCAGGACGGTCATCCTGACGGGGTGACGCCTAAACCCTAAACCCTAAACCCTAAACCCTAAACCCTAAACCCTAAACCCTAAACCCTAAACCCTAAACCCTAAACCCTAAACCCTAAACCCTAAGCCCTAAGCCCTAAGCCCTAAGCCCTAAGCCCTAAGCCCTAAACCCTAAACCCTAAACCCTTTACCCTAGGGTTTAACCCTAAACCCAGTGTGCAGAAAGGAGTCAGCGTCCCGGTAGGAATGGGCCCTGGGTTGAAGTGAGCATTGCAGGTTGGTTCCTATGAAATGGCTTATTGTGGGATTGCCGGAGGGTTTGAGACTGGTGTTTTTGAGTATTATCTCAGGTCCATACGTAAAAAATTCGGGGATCGTATTCCACGGGCCCCGGGGGATGCTCAGAAATGCTTCTTCCAGAAGTTTCAGCATGCGGATAGGGTTTAGGGTTTAGGGTTTAGGGTTTAGGGTTTAGGGTTTAGGGTTTAGGGTTTGGGGTTTGGGGTTTGGAGTTTGGGCAATTAACCTTCCAGAAATTGTAGCAAAGACTCAGATTCTTGTTTGAGATTCTCGTCCGGAGCCTCTCGTGCCAAACCTTTAGAGAGAGGCTCCCAGAAACCCAATCAGCTCAAACACCAACCGTTGCAAGAGACACAATCCACTCACATACCTTCATTTCACTCTAGCCACAGGCGAAAATACTGTTTCGATGCTTTGCTGGGGCGTCCACCATCCGGATAGCTTTATAGGCCAGGATTTCATCATGGATTTGCAAGGTCGATATAGGAGTTGGCACTCGGGGGTTATCATGCAGCAAGATTCCAAGCTGAGCCTCAACTGATTTAGAGCAAGCTGTTTGTTTCCTTCTTAGTCAGTCTTCTCGTTTCTTGATGGTCAGTCAGTCAGGCTTCTCTGTTTCAGCACGACTCTTTTGCTCTTTAAAGTACATTGTCATATCACAAGTATCCTTCCCTAAAAACGCACATACGTGTTCTCTTTTTAAATTGAAACAAAATTGTCAGTCCAAAACCCCTGTGGTGACCTAAATTGTTTTTTTTAATGCGAGGATCGTTGTCAGACCAATCCCTGAAGTGAAGTCTCTGACCATGCTAACCTTCATGGCCCCTCTAGACTACCCCCCCCCCGGTTCCCCCCATAATTAAGGCTATTTAGGGATAATTAAGCCCAATTAAGGTTATTTAAGGGGGGAACCTCGGGGGGGTAGTATAGAGGGGGGTAGTAAGGGAGCCCCCTAAAACCTGGTGCTGCAGGAGCTGCTGACTGCGTTGCCGAAGCTCCAGCAAGGCGAGAGTCACGAAGTACATGTCCAGTTGCTGCGGTTCTGAAGCCCGCCGTATACGGATCTGAAGTGTCGAAATCGAAATGCAGTCCCAAATGTGCTGTCACGAGGACTTTCATGAATGCCACACATGTACCATCGGAACTGTCCAATGCAGGGAGAGGTGGGAGAATTGAGTAATACTCCTAGTTTCAGCCAAAGGCTTGCCATCAACCTCAGTGTTGTTGCTCCAAGAGAACCTCCCCCCTTCCGCGCCTTCCTGTGCCAGCAACTTGACGCGAACCTGCGCGAGCACAAAAAGTGTCTCTGCCGGAAGCAGCGGCAAGGAACACCTTGCGATCAGCAGATTTGGGCACCTGCAATCATGAAGGTTCCCGCCAGTCTTCTTGGGGCTCAAGTCACTGGCACGAAGTCGTTGGTCCAGGATAGTCATGCGTATCATAGCTGGTATACATCAAATAGATTAATACCATATACACCATCTGATATGATTGGTAACCAATTAACCACAGTACCGGCTTGGGCTGGGTTTGGCAGTACACCCGACTCTCACATGTACATGCAGCCTTTCGTTTATGTAAACTATGTATGCGAGGTAGCATTCGTGCAGGCCAGTGTTTCTGGGTGTGTAATGTTTCTGTTGTGCTCCTCTGTGGGCCTGGCCTTCAGCATTTTCCCTTTGATTTCGGCATGTCCGACCAATGCCAAAAAGAGCGTTTCCTGCATTCCAGGCTCCAGTGGCTGCATAAAACGTGTGAGGATCTGTTCACGAACAGATAGCCATTGATGAGGTATCCCCAATGTTCAGACAAACTCATGAAGCTTCATGATGGATACAGTGATGACGAGTTGTGCTGATTTCTCAAGGGTTTATGATTACCTTGGGCAATAACTATAGCTGACAACTGGTAAAAACATGCATCGACATAGCACACATCAACAACAATATAGATCATGACTGTTGGTTCTCAGCGGAGCTCTCCCATTCGGGTGTACGATGTGCATCTTTGATGGCTTCATTCATTCGATCATTTGAGACTGGTCGTGAACCCCAACCTTGACCTCATGAACTCATTGTCGATGTTCGAGCTAAACTGATGAGTCAGAAGCTTTGCAGTTTTTCCGCAGGGAAGGCTTCCATCCAGGTTTTTCAACATGTTAGTTCCATCGGAAAGGCTTGGTTCAATGGGGTTTAGGGTTTAGGGTTTAGGGATAGACCTGGGCTCGCACCTCCTTGCTGATCACAGACCGTGAGGTCTGGGAGATGAGGGGCCTCCAAAGCCTCGGGGTGCCAAGAGGGTTAGGGTTTAGCGTTTAGGGTTTAGGGTTTAGGGTTAGGGTTTAGGGTTTAGGGTTTAGGGTTTAGGGTTTGGGGTTTAGGGTTTAGGGTTCAGGGTTCAGGGTTCAGGGTTTAGGGTTTAGGGTTTAGGGTTTAGGGTTTAGGGTTTAGGGTTTAGGGTTTAGGGAGGTTGGCGTGGATGGCGATGCGGTTGGACATGACAGCCGGATGCTGGTTGTTGTGCGACAAAGAGAACCTGGGGGAGTGACCGTGATTGGGAGTTTGGATGCAAAGGCCAGATCCTGGACAGCTTGTTCTGACGCCCCAAACCCTAAACCCCAAAACCCTAAACCCTAAACCCTTAACCCTTAGCCCTTGACCCTAAACCCTAAACCCTAAACCCGAAGACTTTCGGCCTCAGAGTTCAAGGGTAGAGCCTTTCGTCAGCATGCTCTCGTGCCCGCGCATAGCCAGGGCCTCGGTCTGGGTTTCAGGTAGACGGATCTAGGGCTCAGGCTTTCGGCTGTTGAAGGGGGTTTAGGATTTAGGGGGTTTGGGGTTTAGGGTTTAGGGTTTAGGGTTTAGTGGTTTAGAGTTTAGGGCTTCAGGGTGTAAGTGGAGCGGTTTTAGGTTTTAGGGTGTAGTGGTTTAGGATTCAGGGGTCTAGGGTTTAGGATTCTGGGCTGAGGTTCAGAGACTGAAGTTATCATGAGAAGGGTGTGTATATACATACGGTACTAGCATTTTTACTCGAATGATGGCAACTTAATTTCGGTTCCCTAGCAGCAGCCACGATCAGCGAACACACCCCCCAGCTCCAACTGGGTGTCGGCTGTTGGGGTTATGGGTTTCAGGTTTCATAGGGTCTAATCTCTTCACCCCTACTTGGAGGTTCATGGTACTTAGTAACCAATTAAAACTGTACTGATAACCCACTTTGAAGCCCCTTAACTTAAGTGCTATTATGGTCATACGTACGGTTACAAGTACAGTTTAATTGGTTAAGACGTACCATGAACCTCCAAGCAAAACCCTATACCCTAAACCCTAAACCCAAAATCCTGAACCCTAAGCCCTAAACCCTAAACCCTAAACCCTAAACCCTAAACCCTAAACTCTAAACCCTTAAACCCTACACGTCTTCGATGCCAGGCGGCGGTTGTCCGCGGTGGTCTCTGCGGGCCGAGGCAAGCGGCAACCCACCAGCCCTCCCCAGGGTTAGGGTTTGGGGGTTCAGGGTTTAGGGTTTAGGGTTCCTGTGGTTTGGGCCATGTATCTATTCAAGGATGACCCTTATAAACATACATTCAAGTAAGCAAGTATTTTGCCCTCAGCACTAAACCCCAAACCCTAAATAAACCCTAACCCCTAAACCCTAAAACGTGCGCATCCTTATTGTGGCAGCTTATGTCCCAGAGCACGGACCCCTTCCACTCTGAACTGGTTCTTAGCCCTCAGGAATGATGTGTCGCTGTTTGAAGCGCGCTAGGGTTTCGGGTTTAGGGTTTGGGGTTTAGGGTTTAGGGTTTAGGATTTTGGGTTTTGGGTTTTGGGTTTTGGGCGGATTGCCAATTTTCTTCCCCTACACCACGGGAGTTTCGGCTCGAAGGTTGGCGGAGGGTTTTACGCGCTTAGGGTCCGGGTTTTGGCGTTTTCCGGTTTAGGGTTTAGGGTTTCGGGTTTCAGGGTTTTGGCGTTTAGGGTTTGGGTTTTGTTGGAGCTTTAGAGCTTTAGAGGTTGTGGCTTTAGGGTTTTAGGGTTGTAGGGTGCTAGGGTTGCAGGGTCAGGGGTTTAGCGGTTTAGCGCAGTGTAGGGTTTAGGGGTTATAGGGTTTATAGGGTTCGTAGGGTTTGTCAAGGGAACAAAAGGAGGGACCTTTACGAGGGATACTGGGGGTTATTTGGGGGTGATTTCGGGGCAAGTTTAGGTATATAGGGACTACATAAGGTATATATATATATATATATATATATATAGGGACTACATAAGGTATATATATATATATATATAGGGACTACATAAGGTATATATATATATATATATATATATATATATATAGGGGTTATGTGTAGTAGGGGAATCAGATGAAGGGTCCCTTCTAGAGGCTCCCTCCTTTTACCCCCGTAATGGAACCCGTGCCAGAAACCCAACAACCACCCCAACCCTGATGTCTATCAACCCTGAAGCCACCCCAACCCTAAACCGTAAAACCCACCGGAACCTTAAACCCTAAACCCTAAACCCTAAACCCTAAACCCTAAACCCTAAACCCTAAACCCTAAAGCCTAAAGCCTAATCCCTAAACCCGAAGGGGGCGGGGGGTTGAGGGAAGCCAAGGACGCAAAACCCCGGAACCCCTAAGAAAGCCCACAATTCTTAAACCCCTAAATCCTAAACCCTAAACCCGAAACCCTAAACCCTAAACCCGAAACCCTAAACCCTAAACCCTAAACCCTCAACCCTCAAACGTTTCGACATCCACAGCCCTGGAGCTGAATTCCCGAACGAGAAAGCCGCCTCGCTTTTTGGCCCCAGCTGCATTAGTTTTGGATGGCTCCGGTTCAGGGTTTAGGGTTTAGGGTTTGGGGTTTAGGGTTTAGGGTTTAGGGCTTAGGGTTTGGGGTTTAGGGTCTAGGGCTTCTTTTTTTCTTTTGTGTTCTTTAGGGGCTTCAAAGGGCAGCGCCCCGTCGGGTTCCAAGCCATGGGTTCCGAGATCGACGACAAGAAGAGGCGCACGGATGATGGTCACCACGGCCACAGCCACGGCTACAGCGACTAAGCTTCAAATGTGCGTGTGTATATAGTGATATACTTGTATATATGTTGTTACACAGCACACACATATATTTCTACATATGTGTATATGTTAATCCGAGCATCTGTTTAATTGGGCCCCCCCCCCCCCCCCCCACCGCAATAAGAAAGGCCGGTTCCACAATGGTAAGACCGTGGCCCTGTATTGATTCTCCATTAAAAACAATAGGCCGCAGATCCCTGAGGTGCTGTAGCTTCGCAGCTCAGCAAGCAAAACAAGAAGCCTGCCGACAGATTTTGGAACCTCCCCGAGAACATTTTCTTTAAATGTGGTGGTATTGGCCCATACGAAATCCACCGGAATGGAAAGTAGTCTTCCGGCGGGCTTCTCGGCGAAAAAAAACTCTTTAAATGTGGGGGTATTAATGAAACAGATGCTCGGATTAGCAAATATATTGCTATATATATATAGACATATATATATATATACATTTAAATATAGATGTGTATACGCTCTCCGTTCACATTTCCGGTTCTGAAGTGTTTCCAGTCTTTGCCAGGTGATGCTCACAGGACGAGATCGCGACTACCGGTCACGGTGCTGACGGGTTACCTCGGGGCAGGGAAGACAACGCTGCTAAACTACATCTTGAGAGAGCAGAACGATAAGAAGCTTGCCGTCATCGAGAATGAGATCGGTGAGGTAAGCATTGATGATGCCCTTGTTGAGAACAAGCATCAGGACATGGCCGAAGAGCTAGTTCTGCTCGACAACGGGTGTATCTGCTGCACGGTACGTGGGGACTTGATTCAAACGTTGCACAAGATTGGGGCCAAATACGTCTCCGGGGGTGCGCACTTGGATGGAGTGTTGATTGAGCTAACAGGCATGGCTGATCCCGCTCCAGTTGTTCAGACGTTCATTGTGGATGATGACGTGAAGCGCTGCTTCTACGTGGACAACGTCGTGACGCTGGTGGATGCTAAGCATGCCATCGAGAAGTTGGATGAGAGCAAGGGCGACCCGGAGAAGGGCACAGCTTGTGCCCAGATTGCATTCTCAAGCACCGTGCTCCTGAACAAGATCGACCTGGTGGATGGGGCACACCTCGACAAAGTGAGGATGCGCATCAAGGAATTGGGGTTGAGGGTTTAGGGTTGAGGGTTTAGGGTTGAGGGTTCAGGGTTTAGGGTTTCGGGTTTAGGGTTTAGGGTTTAGGGTTTAGGGTTGAGGAGCTCAACGCGGCCGCCGAGATCATCCCGTGCCAGCAGTCGCAGGCGCCCATGGACAAGCTCTTCAACGTCGGAGCCTTCAACTTAGAGACTTGGGGGTGGCCAGGTGGTACCCTTTGCCCTCTTTTTTGTTTTTTTTTTGGTTCTGGGTTCCCTCATAAAGTAGCCCTAAACCCTGAACCCTGAACCCTAAGCCCTAGACCCTAAACCCTAAACCCGGTTCCCTAACCCTAACCTAAACCCTAAACCCTAAACCCTAAACCCCAAACCCCAAACCCCAAACCCCAAACCCCAAACCCCAAACCCTAAACCCTAAACCCTAAACCCTAAACCCTAAACCCCCAAAAGAGCGCCCTTGATCATAATATGGTTACCGGGCTACCAAGGAGAAGGTCCTGGATGAGCAGTACATGGATGAAGAGGAGCTTCTTACCTGGCCAATAGTTGAACTTTAAACTTTTCTAGGGTTTAGGGTTTAGGGTTTAGGGTGGAGAAGTAAGGTTCCGCCGGTTTTACCAGCCCAAGATGGACCGCTCCGTCTCAAATGTTGGCGTTCGCTGCGAGGGAGCGGTCATGATGTTTGCGTTCCAAAGGCTTCTGGGCCGATACTTGAGCACACCCCAAGCCCTAAGCCCTAAACCCTAAACCCCAAAACCCAAAACCCTAAACCCTAAACCCTAAGCCCTAAACCCTAAACCCTAAACCTCCCAAGGTTTCTGGATCGATACTTGAGCACAGAAGAGCAGGCCAAGGACTTCTTGCGCGTGAAGGCGGTTTTGAGCTCTGGGTAGCTGAGTGGTACCCTTTTGCGTCCCTCATTTGGGTTTAGGGTTTGGGGTTTAGGGTTTGGGGTTCAGGGTTTAGGGTTTGGGGTTTAGGGTTTAGGGTTTGGGGTTTGGGGTTTAGGGTTTAGGGTTCGGGTTTAGCTGAGTGGCACCCTTTTGCGCCCTCATTTGGGATCTGGCTTCCCCCCAAAAAGGCAAACAGCCCGTACTCTTATGGTAAGAAGGCTGCCGGGCTTTCCAAGCTCCAAAACCTAAACACTAACCCTAAACCCTAAACCCGAAGCCCAAAACCCTAAACCCTAAACCCTAAACCCTACACTCTAAACCCTACACCCTAAACCCTAAACCCTACACCCTAAACCCTAAACCCTAAACCCTAAACCCTAAACCCTAAACCCTACACCCTAAACCCTAAACCCTAAACCCTAAACCGAGGAATGTGGCAGGCTCCCAGGACAAGTTCGTGTTGCAATGTGTCCACATGCTGAGGAACCAGGGCTTCACGAAGCCCTGGGCTCCTGGGGAGACAAGGCTCATGTTGAAGGAACTTGAAGGGTTTAGGGTTTAGTGGGTTTAGGGTTTAGGGTTTAGGGTTTAGGGTTTAGGGTTTAGGGTTTAGGGTTTAGTGGGTTTAGGGTTTAGGGTATAGGGTTTAGGGTTTAGGGTTTAGGGTTTCGGGTTTAGGGTTTAGGGTATAGGGTTTAGGGTTTAGGGTTTAGGGTTTAGGGTTTAGGTTACTTTGGGAGTTGTCGCTTCAGGGCTTAGGAGTTTAGAGGTTTAGGGTTTAGGAACTTAAGTCGAGTTACCATCGTCGGCTTTGTCCCAAACCCTAAACCCTAAGCCCTGAGCCCTCAACCCTAAACCCTAAATGTAACCCTTGTCTTTTAAGCCCCCCATTTCGTGACACTCCTCAGCAAGAGCCCAGGAGAAGCGAGAGAATCGCATTATCTTCATTGGCCGAGCCATGCAACCGAGGCGCCAGGAGCAAGGGGTGTAGGGTTTAGGGTTTAGGGTTTAGGGTTTAGGGTTTAGGGTTGAAGGATGTACCTCCCTTAACATCCTCCTAATATGGGCCCGCTCTAAGGGATCACCCTCAACACTAAGCCCTAGACCCTAAATCCTAAGCCCTACACTTAAACCCTAAGCCCCTAAGCCCTAAGCCCTAAACCTAAACCCTAAACCCTAAACCCTAAACCCTACACCCTAAACCCTAAACCCTAAACCCTAAACCCTAAACCCTAAACCCTAAACCCTAAACCCTAAACCCTAAACCCTAAACCCTAAACCCTAAACCCTAAACCCTAAACCCTAAACCCTAAACCCTAAACCCTAACCCTACACCCTAAACCCTAAACCCTAAACCCTAAACCCTAAACCCTAAACCCTAAACCCTAAACCCTAAACCCTAAACCCTAAACCCTAAACCCTAAACCCTAAACCCTAAACCCTACACACTAAACCCTAAACCCTAAACCCTAAACCCTAAACCCTAAACCCTAAACCCTAAACCCTAAACCCTAAACCCTAAACCCTAAACCCTAAACCCTAAACCCTAAACCCTAAACCCTAAACCCTAAACCCTAAACCCTAAACCCTAACCCTCAACCCTAAACCCTAAAAGGAGCTGACCGAGGGTTTCAAGGCCTGCCTGGCGACGCAGCCGCTCCGCTTCCCCGTGAACACACCGATCTTTGCCAAGGCCCTGAGTTGGTCTTAGGATTTAGGATTTAGGGTTTAGGGTTTAGGGGTTTAGGGTTTAGGGTTTAGGGTTTAGGGTTTAGGGGTTTAGGGTTTAGGGTTTAGGGTTTAGGGTTTAGGGTTTAGGGTTTAGGGGTTTAGGGTTTAGGGTTCAGGGTGTAGGGTCTAGGGGTTTAGGGGTTTTGGGGTTTAGGGGTTTAGGGCTTGAACGCCTCGATCTGGGCCCCAGGTTGGAGCAGGTGACAATGACTGGATGCGAGGTGTGGTCATTGCCCACTGGAACGAATGCAACGCCTACCGCCTGCGGCTGGAGGATGGAGATGAAGTTCACGCGCCTTTGGACCTGGACTTCTTCGTGAAGAAAGCATGATGACAGAACCATCGATTCTTTTTCGAAACCCTAAGCCCTAAGCCCTAAGCCCTAAACCCTAAACCCTAAACCCTAAACCCAGTTAAAAAAAACCTAAGCCCAAAACTTAGGTCCTAAAGCCTCAACCCTGCTATGGCCGAGCGGCTCATGCGAAGCCAGTTTGAGACCGGAAGCGGATGGAGGTGTCATATGTGATTGTGTCAATTTTGTGAGTGACATCCAAAACGACTTGCTGTGGCTCAAAGGGCTTCAGCCCGGCTACGCGGTTACCAGAGGGGTGGTTTTTCGCTGCTTGCAAGCTTGAAGGCCAAAGACCAAGCGCAGGCGCTTGAATATGGGTTCTAGGTAGGCCCTGGGGATATTTTTATTTTATTATTATGATTGTTACTACTAGTGTTATTGTTCTGATACTTATTACTATTTCCATTCTTATTACCTATCGTGTTTCCCTTATCGGGTTCAAGAGGATCATGTTCAGGCATGCTTTCTTTCAGACTCAGGGCCATCCTAGTGCTTCGTATGCTCTGGATGTCCCGGATGGCAGCGCGTTTGAAAAGAGTGGTGCAGCCGCTGCAGTTTCGCCCCAAGCCCTGAAGCCCTGAAGCCCCAAAACCCTAAACCCAAAACCCCAAACCCCAAACCCTAGACCCTAAACCCTAAACCCTAAACCCTAAATCCTAAACCCTAAACCCTAAACCCTAAACCCTAAACCCTAAACCCTAAACCCTAAACCCTAAACCCTAAACCCTAAACCCTAAACCCTAAACCCTAAACCCTAAACCCTCCCCGCCAGCAAGACCTCTCCGCCGCGCTTGACCGAGCTCGGCTGGCCCAGCTCGTTGTATCTGCTGATGGCGAGGCGGCGCGGGCTCACCTCCAACTCCTCCAGCAGCCTGGTGCCGGTTCCTGGCTTTCCGCCCGGCCGTGCGAAGCTCTTGGTCTCCACCTCGCCCCTCCCCTTTTCCGCGTGCTTCTCCGCATGCGGTTGCGCCTCCCAGTCGCAAGCGCTGACGGCTTCTGCCCTTTGTGCGACGGGACGGCGGACCGCTATGGGGACCACGCGCGTGCCTGTCCCTGTGGAGGCGACCGCACCAAGCGCCACAATCGGCTTCGCACTGTTGTGGCAACTAAGGCCGCCTCGGCGGGACTCAGCCCCGAAATTGAAAAGGAGGGTCTTCTGCCCCAACGGCCTGATGAGCTCGGAGCCAGCGAGAGCGGTTCTGTGGCTCCTTCTGGGCGCCGCCCCGCCGACGTGTACCTCCCTGCCTGGGGAGTGCACGGCCCCGCTGCGCTAGACCTGGCAGTGACCAGCGGGATGCGCAACACCGTCCTCGCTGCGTCGGCCGCAGACGGCGCCTCCGCTGCCTCACACTACGAGGACCGCAAGCGCGCCTTCCTGCAAACCGCGACACTCTGCTCAGGGCAGGGGCTCCAGTTCCTCCCGCTCATCGCCGAAGCCTGCGGTGGGGGGTGGGGACCCACTGCCATGAAGACCTGGCGAGTGCTGGGCGGTCTGTGTGCTGCTAGGTCGGGGCTGTCAGCTAGTGAAGGCGTGCAGCAGCTGATGCAGTCCCTCAGCGTCGCGCTGCAAAGGGAAAATGCCCGCGCAGTGCTCCGCCGGCTCCCCCAAGCTGAGGGTGGGCCGGTTACCTTGGACGAGCCGTGAGCTTGAGTGATACAACCTGTGCCTGCTAGGCCCTAGGCCCATTCGCTGAAGCCGGGCGCGCTCCCTTACCTGGCCTCCGCTTGGCCCCTCGATCTGTACAGCTTGCTTCGGCCCATTGGCACGCAGGGTGCTGGAGTTCTTGCGGGACGCCGGAGACTTCTGCTGGTGTCGGGGGTTCGCCCTACGGCCGCCCCTGCTCTCTGCCTCGATGTCGGGGTGGACGCATCCTGCATCACCGGGTGTCGGGCGTAGGTCGCTGCCGCTTTCCCTCTCACCTCGATCCGGTGGCTTGCTTTGCCGCGGTGGTTGCTTTTGCTTGCCGTTTTGGACGTGTTCAGAAGCAACACCGTCCTCTTATTAGGTGAATGACATGAGTACAGTTTTCTTGGTTGGTCCCTGAGTTTTGCATATTTTGGCCGATTTTGGCCAGACTCTCGCCGAAAGACGCCAGTACCGGTGGCTGCGCAGACGGCGATATGCGGAGGCTGGGCTCTTCTGGGGATGCCGCTGGCCTGATGCTATTTACATAAATCCGTGGCATTCGCGGATAAAAAAAAAAACCCTAAACCTTGCATCCTTTTTGCCAAAAACCCCCCAAACCCCTAAACCCCCCAAGCCCCCACCACACCCGGACTCTTCAGGCGGACTTCCGGCGATCGGGAGGCGAGGGGCTCCCAGGGGGAGAGAAAAAGCGGTTCCAGGCTTTAAGGTTTTGGGGCTTAAGTTGTAGGCTTCAAGGTTTAGGGTTCTAGGGCGTAGGGGTTGAGGGTTTTAGGAGTTTTAGGGTTCAGGGTTTAGGGTTATTGTTTAAAGTTCAGAGTTTAAGGTTGTCGGGGCTGGTACGAAGACCTTGGAGACCCAACCCTGGGGATGGCAAAGCAAAAGACTAAACCCTAAACCCTAAACCCTAAACCCTAAACCCTAAACCCTAAACCCTAAACCCTAAACCCCAAACCCTAAACCCTAAACCCTAAACCCTAAACCCCAAACCCTAAACCCTAAACCCTAAACCCGAACCCGGAACCCTGAACCCTAAACCCTAAACCCTAAACCGTAGACCTTACGGCCTGTGGTACATCCATGCCATATGGGGGTTTCCGAAGCCTCAGTCATTCGCTTAAACTGGGGGGTACCCCATTGGGGTCCTTGTTACCAAGGAATTTTTCTATTTGGGGAAACTATTGGGGGTCCCCTATTTTCGTAAACTCCCATATGATTGGCACAGCAATTCTCTGCTGGGACAGTGTCGCAGCTCTCGCAGGTGTGGCCGGCCTGATGCTTCCGATCAGATCGCCTGAGCCAGAAGCCTGAGAATCTAAACCTTCCGTTTATGGACTAATATAGAGGGCCGGCCTTAGTAATTAGAATGGGGCTTTAGTATACTTATAAGGGGAACATAGGGGACTATTGTCAGTATATCTTCCGACCCCTATATTATGCGGCGCAAAGCGTGCCGCAGACTTCTGGCACATTTCGTTCCAACCGACGGGAGGCCCACTTCACCAAGTGGACATGTCAACACATCTGCGCAGTGTGCTTCGATGAAGCAGTGCGAAGCATGGGTTTAGGGTTTAGGGTTTAGGGTTCAGGGTTCAGGGTTTAGGGTGGGAGTGATGTCCACTGCAGCTTGGCAAATGCTGGTAGCTTTGTTTGCCTTGACTTGCCCCTTTCGTTGAATTCCCGTCCTGGTTATGGTGAGGTTCTGCAAGCCCGTTTGATCTTCGAACGCCGCAAGCTCCTGCAGATCCGATTGCTGCAGCATTTACTCGCAATGCGCTCAATACTCGTGAGAGTTTCAGTGTATATTCCGTCACACCCCCTTCAGGAGACTGAAAGAGGGCCCTTCGCGATTGAGATGTGGAGGTGTTGCAGCTGGATCCTGGTGGTGCAGAAGCGGTTTAGGGCTTAGGGTTTAGGGTCATGCTCATCATCGTCATCATCGCTGAATTGTTGAACCACAGCAAGGTGTTGGAGCAGGAAGCCCTAATCCCTAAACCCTAAACAGTGTACTCGCGCTGGAAGGAGCTACGTGTTGTAGTCATCATCCGTATTCATCCTCTTTCTTCTGAGTAGTCCCAGCCACGGCGTCCTTCCACTCCACGCGTGCCATGCGGTGCTATGCTTAAAGGGTTCTTAAGGGAGGGGTCCAAGAAGGGTATGTAGCCCAAGGTTCCCGAGTACTCCCTACTATTCCCCCCCTTAAGAACCGTATCATGTGCGCATCCCCGCCTGTAGTTTGCTCCTTCACGCCCGCGAGTGGGATTGTCCGGGAGCCAGGGGCGCCAAAAACGCAAGGGCGCGCGCCCTTACATGCGTGTATCGGCTGGTGTTCTTCGGATCTGCGTGGAGAGAAGTATCGGAAGAAGTCGTGTCTTGCGAATTCTTTTCCGGGGTGCTTTGGGAGCAATCAGGTGGGGCAGGCAGCATCGTGGCTCGAGATTGCTGAGTTTCTTTGCCAACTGGCTTCAGAATCATGGGGGAGGACTCCCCCGCGGGCTTCAAGTAGTATTGTAGTAAGGGTGACTCTTCTTCTATCGTAGGAGTATTATGCGTAGAGCTGGTAATCTACTTGTTGCCCAAGAACCCCCCAAAACAGATAAAGTTCCAAGCACATGGTAGTAATGGTTTGGGATGTTCCCCCTTATACTCGCAGTCCTGAGTAGGGAGTACACTAGGGGGTACTATGGGGTTGCCCTGAACCCTAAACCCCAAGCCCCAAGCCCTAAGCCCTAAGCCCTAAGCCCTAAACCCTAAACCCTAAACCCTAAACCCTAAACCCTAAACCGACCCTAAACCCTGAACCCTAAACCCTAAACCCAAAACCCTAAACCCTAAACCCTAAACCCTCAACCCTCAACCCTTAAACCGTCAACCCTCAACCCTCAACCCTCAACCCTCAACCCTCAACCCTCAACCCTCAACCCTAAACCCTAAACCCTAAACCCTAAACCCTAAACCAACTACCCGAGAAGGACGGCGGGATCACCACCAGCGTGCTGCATCCGTTTCTCGGGGCCGCTGCTGGGCCTTCGTTTGGGCGACGTTTTTTTTGTTTTTTTTTTTAATGGGTGGACAGGAGAGGTTTAGGGTTTAGGGATTGGGGTTTAGGATTCAGGGGTTCAGGGTTGAGGGTTGAGGGTTTAGGGTTTAGGGTTTAGGGCAACCCCAGACTCCTGGACCAGATTCTCCTCTAAGCCTAGAGCTACAGCAGTAGGTTTGTCAAGTGCTGCAATCCCAGAGGATCCAAAGCCCCTTAGTTAAGGACTATCCGTTAGATTCTCACAGGAACCCCAATATGATTTAAGGTCTATTCCTTAATGAAGGGGGTTTTGGAGCCTCTGGGTATCTGCAACCCCAAACCCTAAACCCTAAACCCTAAAAACCCTAAACCCTAAACCCTAAACCCTAAACCCTAAACCCTAAACCCTAAACCCTAAAACCCTAAAACCCTAAAACCCTAAGACCCTAAAACCCTAAAACCCTAAAACCCTAAACCCTAAACCCTAAACCCCTAAGACCCCAAAGCGCCCAAGGTTGTGGAAGGCCTGGATGTCTCCAGCATCGGCCAAGAGGCCGTGACCAGCTTCCTGGCGCCTCTCCTCGAGTCGCATGGCCTCCTCCTCTTCCGGAACCAGAAGCTCCTTAGCGATACTTGGAAACAATTGTGTTTTGCAACTTTTTTTGGGGAACTATAGTTCCTCAGAGACAGCTCAAACTATACCTTTGGGGTGCGATAATTTGGGGGGCACTGTAATTCCTAAGAAACAGCCAAAATTCTCATGTTTGCTGGGGGGGTTTTGAGCTCAGCAGAGGCTCAGCCCTGGAGGCCTCCTGGAGTTCGTGGGAAGATTCCCGGATGCGGATGTTGAGGAGCTACAGAAGCAGTCCCTCGGACCCAGAGTCGGCCCTTATTTCCTTTTTTCTCAGGGTTTTAGGGTCTCTTATAAGCTCCTTTAAGCAAAAAAACTCCCTTTTTTTCTAGGGTTTTAGGGTCCCTTACAAGCTCCTTTAAGCCAAAAAATAAGGGCACCTTTTTTACTCCTAGGTTGCTCCTGGGTCTAGGTCCCAGCCTTTTGCAGACGGCGACCCGTCTTGCTTGCCGGAGCTTCCGGGCGTTCGTGTCCTGGGCACCCCGTCCTCGGATCGCGCTCTCTGGCATGGGGCCGTCCCCGAGGCCAATGATCTTGGTATGGAATCTGGGTAGCCCAGTGGTGCCCATTACCCCCCTCTGTTTTTTGGGTTTTGGGTTCCCTTAAAGAGGGTGCCCTTGTTATCGTCTGCTTACTGGGGCTACGAAGGAATGGCACACCGATGGCTGTGGCATAACCGGCCTCTATGCCGCGCAAGTGCCGCATGGGGAGCGGACGCGCAGCACGCTGTGGGCCAGTGGGTACCATGCCTGGGATGTGCTGAGCGATGAGGCAAAGAAGCAAGTCTTGGGAATGAACTTCGTCTTCGGGCCGCGGTACTTGCTGGACGAAAGTGTGGCCAACATGTGCCGCTACGGCGGGCGCATGAGCGAGAACGGCTTGCGGCGAGTGAAGGACGTGGATGCCGCAGCGCTGACGAAGGAGCAGCTGCAGCGACGAGAGGGCGCGAGCAACGCGAGGCGCTACGTGCACTTGAATGGCTCACCTGCAAGGCGCGGCACCAGTGGACATGAGCTATCTTGCAAGCAGAACCGCTAAGATTCGTCTGGACTGTGAACCTTGAATGTCTTGCCAGCATGGCATAGTGGCATAGTTCTGGGTTACTGACTACGTGCTTGTAAACTGTTTGTCATTCTGTTTTTCCTAGGCTTCCTGAAGAAGTTTGTTCTTTGGTGCGGAGTCCGGCTGGGTCGGACCCCGCAACGCAAGACAGTGCACGCCCGTGACCCTACATTGCCATAGTAACCCTCGATTGTTAAGGGCGTTCGGGCCCCCCCTCTCCCAACCCTAAACCCTCCCCCGCCCCCTCACCCACAAGACAGAATTCGGAGCGGGCCGCAAACGACCCGAGCAAATGGCAGTTTCTCTCCTGCCTGTCCTCTTTCTTGATGGCAGTGCCTGATAACATGATGAACTCATCTTCTGTCTAACATACCCATCCTTAAAAGCACAAAAAAAGAACGGATTATGTTGGTTCTGTGCCCACTGAAGAACCCGGAGCCTGTCAACAGTTTTCAAGCGCCATCCATGCCTGCTAGCCACTATCACAGTCGGTTTGTGTGTTGTGTGAGGCAACACCCGTTCACTGGACGTACAGCTCTATGGACGGTGCCCTTGTTGTTGCAGGAGTGCCAGGATATGGGGCTGGAACAAGCCAAGATCCAGCTGGAGGAGATTCTTTTGCCGGGGTTGAGTGGCGATGCTGTTTACAGGCATGACTGGCGTGTCGGTGACCTGGTGCTATTCGACAACCGGAGCATGATGCACTCGGCTACAAAGCTGGTCGATGCCCCACAGCTCATGTACCAAGTCTTCCTCAGAACCAAGACGCAGATGAAGTTTGCCAAGCAGACGCAACCATGATTGTCCACCCACTGGGGCTTCGCAAAACTCACAGCATGTCGCAAAGTCCTTCCGAAGGTCAAGTGGGGATTGCTGTCCGTTGATGCTTCAAGCAGACCATGGAAGCCTTGCTTCTCACAGCCTGCAGCTGCCTCGTTGAGCAAAATGCCAGGAGGAGCGATGCGAAAGTGTGAGCAGGGGGCGCCCTGCAGACGTTGAGAGCACCCGCTTCTAGAGCCTCCCTAAGATGTCGGCTTCATGTGGGGCCTTCTGAAAACAGGGTACCCTTTTGAAGGGTCCTAGAATAAGGATTATAGGATTTGGGGGCATTTTAGGGCCCCCCCTATTTTCGTAAACCCCCATGTGACCGCCATGTTCTGTACACCCAGCAGCGGAGCCGAAGCACCTGGATCCTATGCCCCCCTTGGGAATTATTTTCTATTTTTGTTCATGCAAAACCCAAGAGGATATTAAAAATATTATTTTTATTAAGGTTCTCAGGGGAGTATAAGGATCAAGCTGGGCCTTCCGCAGACGTTACGGTAGTTGATGAGGGTTTGAGGGTTTTAGGGTTTCAGGGTTTTGGGGTTTTAGGGTTTTTAGGGTTTTAGGGTTTTTAGGGTTTTTAGGGTTTTTAGGGTTTTAGGGTTTTAGGGTTTTAGGGTTTTAGGGTTTTAGGGTTTTAGGGTTTTAGGGTTTTAGGGTTTTAGGGTTTTAGGGTTTTAGGGGTTTAGGGTTTTAGGGTTTTAGGGTTTTAGGGTTTTAGGGTTTCAGGGTTTTAAAGCGTTAGGGTCTGGTGGCTAGCTAACAGAACGACCTTGCCGGGCTTAGGGTTTAGGGTTTAAGGTTCAGGGCTTTGGCTTAGGTTTGAGGGCTGGTTATTCAGGGTTTGGGGCCTATAGGGTTGAGCTTAGGTATACTTGGAAATAGTTTTTTTGGTTCTGTAATTCCCAAGAAACAGCCAAGACTTTTTATTTGTGCTAGGGTTCCAAGTTCAGTACAGTGAGGGTTTAGGGTTTAGGGTTTAGGGTTTAGGGTTTAGGGTTTAGGGTTTAGGGTTTAGGGTTTAGGGTTTATCGTTTAGGACGCCATGGCTTTCCCGAGACTGGTCACTGCAAGAGACGCTGGGTATGATCGGGCCGATGTTGGAGAAGGAGGGGAAAGAATACGGTTTAGGGTTTAGGGCTTAGGGTTTAGGGTTCAGGGTTTAGGGTTTAGGGTTTAGGGTTTAGGGTTTAGGGTTTTGGGAGGTGCTCCAGGCGAGATTGTGGTGATGGTGGTCAGCGGGAAGGATGAACCGAAGAACACGGCCAAGGAGGGTCCTTAAGCAAAGCCAGTTCGAGAAGGACTACAATACTGTAGTTCTTCTTGAATTGGGTTTCCTTATGGATGGACCTCGCGCGCGACCATGAGCTCAAGGACAATGGCCTTCAAGGTCGGGAGGGAGGAATCCCTAAACCCTAAACCCTAAACCCTAACCCGAAACCCCAAACCGTAAACCCCTAAACCCCTAAACTCCTAAGCCGCTAAACCGCTAAACCGCTAAACCGCTAAACCCCTAAACCCCTAAACCCCTAAACCCCTAAACCCCTAAACCCCTAAACCCCTAAACCCCTAAACCCTAAACCCTAACACCCCCGTGTCCTAAACCCTAATCCCGAACACCACTTTGTCCTTAACTTCAAGTTGTATGTGCCTGTTCGACATCTGAACTACCCACGTCACTCTCCTTGTCAAGGTGATGCCGCCGCCCATGCCAGCTCTGCCCGAGCGGCGGTTCGAAGCGGTGCCCACGGAGGAAGCTAAGTCTCAACGGTTAGGGTTTAGGGTTTAGGGGTTTAGGGGTTTAGGGTTTAGGGTTTAGGGTTTAGGGTTTAGGGTTCAGGGGGGAGGTGGAACGATGAGAATAGCGGAAAGGAATATCTACAGACCCTTGTAACCGCCACCTAAAACTTATAAAACTACAGGTAAACCTTCCAAGTGTTCAAGCAACCGCCCACCTCAACTCCCGATGGTAGGGGAGCTAAGCCCTAAGCCCTAAGCCCTAAGCCCTAAGCCCTAAGCCCTAAGCCCTAAGCCCTAAGCCCTAAGCCCTAAGCCCTAAGCCCTAAGCCCTAAGCCCTAAGCCCTAAGCCCTAAGCCCTAAGCCCTAAGCCCTAAGCCCTAAGCCGTTTGCCGCCGTCTCTGCTTGGTCTCCCTCGTGAACTCCCTTTGGGGGGTTCCTGGCTCCTTATTTCCTAGGGTTTAGAGTTCAGGGTTTAGGGTTTAGGGAGTTCCCCAGTCTGAATGTTTCGGATTTCCGGGTGGCTTCAGGCATCGAGCGTCGTCGTTCGCAGCGCAACATTTTGAAGTTCGGGCTCGACTCTAAGACCCTGAAGCTCCCTAATCCTTACGGTCTAGGCTATAGGGTGTAGGGTTTAGGGTTGAGGGTGCCGGTCAAATCAGCACCTTGTTGTTCTCAGCTTGCCTCCCTGAAGTCGATGGGAGGGAGCCACGGGTTCCACCCTGAACCCTGAACCCTAAACCCTAAACCCTAAACCCCAAACCCCAAGCCCTAAAGCCTAATCCCTGGCGGCGGTGGGCCGGGGCCTTTGCCGGAGGCTTGCGCCGAACATCTGCAGGGCGGCATGCATCTCGGCCTAACCTCCCCCGAAACCCTAAACTTTTGAAGCTTGGGTTTAGGGTTTAGGGTTTAGGGTTTGGGGTTTAGGGTTTAGGGTTTAGGGCTTAGGGCTTAGGGCTTAGGGCTTAGGGCTTAGGGTTTAGGGTACCTTATTGGGGCCCCTTACTGTAAGGGGATCCTACCATTTGGGCATCTATATTCGGGGTCATTATTGTAAGGGGGTCCTACTATTTGGGAGTCTACATTCGGGGTCATTGTTGTAAGGAGATCCTACTACTTGGGAGTCTACATTCGGGCCTTCTACGTTGGAATCCAATCCACTTGGGGGTCCCTTACTATCGTAAACCCCACACCCTACACCCTACACCCTACACCCTAAACCCTAAACCCTAAACCCTAAACCCTAAACCCTAAACCCTAAACCCTAAACCCTAAACCCTAAACCCTAAACCCTAAACCCTAAACCCTAAACCCTAAACCCTAAACCCTTAACCCTTAACCCTTAAACCCTAGACCCTAGACCCTAGACCCTAGACCCTAAACCCTAGACCCTAAACCCTAAACCCTAAACCCTAAACCCTAAACCTAAATGCTGTTGCGGGGCGCAGGCTGGCTCGAGCTGCCCCGGCATGGCAGCAGTGACCTGCCAGGCACGCTGATTCCTTGGGGCATGCGCGTCGTTCCCTAAATTAGGGTCCCCTAAACCCTAAACCCTAAACCCTAAACCCTAAACCCTAAACCCTAAACCCTAAACCCTGAACCCTAAACCCTAAACCCTAAACCCTAAACCCTAAACCCTAGACCCTAAACCCTAAACCCTAAACCCTAAACCCTAAACCCTAAACCCTAAACCCTAAACCCGTTTGCGGGGTTCCCTAGACGGTACGGCACCCTTGAAAGAAGGATTCCCTCAAAATGCGCCCGAACTTAGAGAGCTGACCATGTGACAGTTTCGCGCGTTGCGCAGGCTTGGCACTTAGTGCCAGTGCATGCCAGGGACCTTGACTCCCCCCCGCAAGTTTCAGGCTCAACCTTGCCTGAAGCACAAGTTGCGACCAGTCAGAGCTGTCTGCCAGTGTGAACAACATGAGCGATGTGACGGATGAGGACTGGGAGGATTGGGATGACGATTTTCGCGACGTTCATCTGCCCCCAGAGAAAGGGGATATCAGCCTTGTGGCCAAACGACTTTCAATGACATTGCCGGCGGAAATAGCCCAAGCCGCCCGCCAAGAGTTGCTGTCTGCTGACAAGAAGAAGTTCGCCGCGCGCATGCTCGCGAATGATCGAGCAACCCTCCTGGACCACCAGCTCAAGCTCACAGATTTCGTGCGCGACAATGCTAACAATGCTACTGGGTGTAATTGAACATCTATGTATCAGATGTTTCTAGGAGTCTTTTTTTAGAGGATTCTTCCTAAACCCTACACCCTAAGCCCTAAGCCCTAAACCCTAAACCCTAAAGCCTCAACCCGAAACCCGGAACCCAAACTCTAAACCCTAAACCCTCAAGCTTGCAACGTTTGCATGCCAAGCGAGGCATTTACCCTCGCCTACGAAGCGACCATGGGCGCGGGCAAGACGATGTCCATACTGGCTTTGGCAGGCGGAGCACGCCGCATTGGCAAGTGTTTGTGGGTTCAGATGCCTCAACAGGGATTCTAGGTAACCCTAAACCCTAAACCCTCAGCCCGAAGCCCTAAGCCCTAAGCCCTAAACCCTAAGCCCTAAGCCCTAAGCCCTAAACCCTAAACCCTAAACCCTAAACCCTAAACCTAAACTCAGGAAGTTCATGTGGTCCCCAAGGTACGTCAGCCCGGAGCCGCAGCGTGTCGTCAGGCTGGAGGTGGCGCAGTTGCTCTTCAGCGGCATGACTGCGCACGCAGATGCAAGGTTTGTCTGGGCAGAGTGGCCCGTGGACAAGCTACTTAGTAGCTTAAAGGGTTTAGGGTTGAGGGTTTAGGGTTTGGGGTTAACTTAGTAGCTGCGTGAGTACACTGTTGCACTTTTTGGGATACCACAATGCCCTATCAGAGCTGAAAGTGTGCGCTTTTTTTTTTTTTGGGGGGGGGGGGGGCTTATGAACTCAGCAGCTGAGGCTACTTCTTCGATACCAGGCACATGTCATTCAAAACCTTACCCCGCCGGATTTCGATGAGAGGAGCCTGGCAGCCCTCGACTACCACCATGTGATTCTGGCCTCGCCCCGTGCTGCCAGGGCCATCTTGAAGGAAAGGAAGGACGCCCCGTGGCTGATCTTCTTTGACGAGTTTCTGTCAGAAGCAGGCCACAGCTCCGACTTCAACGTGTCCATGGAGTTCTTGAAGGATGCCCTTCAACGGCCTATGCCGCAGATGATCCTCTCGTCAGCTACGCGCCTCAGCGATCCCGTCCTCGATTTGTTCCGAGGCATCCCAGGAATGCAGGTGGAGCGCGTCACGTCAAGCAGGCACCTTGTTGCCTGGCGAACGCTGGCAGGTGTGGACGGCGAAGCCTATCCGCATCAAGCGTGCAAGGATGCTCCCGATGCCAGGGCGTTACAAGCGATGATCGACAAGCCCACGCTCGCTCGCTTCGTGACCGACGCCTCCTGCGCGTCCTTGGCGCAGAACCTGGAGGCCTGGGGTCCGCCTGTCAAGGATAGAAAAGCAGATGGATGCTGCTAAAGCCCAAACTTGTTGAGAGCTCTGACCCACGTTGTTTTCGACTAGCATACAAAGGTTCAGGATTTAATTAGGGTTAGGTTGGGATGTTCCCCCTTATACTAACCACGTAATGGGGACTGCAATGCTATAATCCCTATTAAGGACTGTTCGTGTAACGACGAACAAGTTAGGGGTTGCTTGTTGGCCATCGTGCTTGCGTTCAGGTGCCTCAGATGCCAGGTATTCGGGCAGTGGCCGTGCCCACCATCGTCAGATACAGTCGGGCCTTGGGAGCTCTGGGCGAACTGCGCTCGGATCAGGTGTCGGAGCTCTGCTCAGGCACCATGCCGGCCACGAAGGCTTCATTCAGCAAGCGGGACCTTTGGAAGATCGCCCGCGGGCTAGGGCAGACCACGGCGCTCTTGGCGACAAACCACGTCACCACTGCAGCCTACGCTTACTTCTCCCAGGACATCAAAGACATCCGCGATGCATTGTTGCTTGGCGAAGATTCCCTCAACCCGAACACCCGAAAATCCCTTAAGCCCTAAGAGTCTTAGGGTAAGACCCTAAAGCCAAAGCCCTAAAACCCAAAACCCAAAACCCAAAACCCTAAACCCGAAACCCGAAACCTAAAACCCTAAGCCCTAGATTGGGTGTTTTGCATAGGCATCCTTCCAGGAGGTGCGGAGTACAGCTGAAACCACAGAGAGCCTGAGAGTTAGGTGGGTCCGCAAGTTTCATTGCCTAAACCCTAAACCCTAAACCCTAAACCCTAAATCCTAAACCCTAAATCCTAAACCCTAAACCCAAACCCCCAAACCCTAAACCCTACACCCCAAGGAATCTTGAAGATGACGCGGCCTCCGCAATCCAGGCTCTTCGCAGCAAGACGGAGACTGAACGGGCCAAGCTCTTCAAGGGGTCTCTTGGTTTTTGGTTTAGGGTTTAGGGTTTAGGGTTTAGGGCTAGGACTTTGGGATGCTTTTACGTTTTCCCCTTACTGGGTTTCAGATATTTTTAAGTGGGTTGGGCGGGCCAACCCTAGGACCTTCCTTCGAAAGCTGCCGTTCGACTGCCGCTCGAGATGCAACAGACTTGCGTTTTTGTGGGTTTAGGGTTCAGGGTTTTGCCAGGAAGCGGAAGGTAAACAAAAACATGAGTTTCAAGGCGGATGTTGAACATGAGGTGTTTTGGACATGTTCACTGCCCGGAACCGGGAAATGGACGATGTCCTGCTACTGCTTGTGGCTGGAATTGGCCTCTTAGTAGCTGAGTGAGCACACTTTACACTTCTTGGGATACTCTAATCCCCAATAGCACTGAAAGTGTACCCTTTTGGGAGGGGCTTATGAACTCAGCAACTAAGGCCTCTACAGCGAGGGCGTCAACAAGGCAAATGAAGCGTATGCCACGTTTGTGGCCGAACGTGCCCAGTGCGGCCACTTCAACTTGTTGATCGCAGACGCGACGATAGCGCACGGAGTGAACTTTGCCATCTCCAAGGCCTCTTAGCAGCCCATTGCTGCCCTTTCGCCCCCCCTTTTTTTCGGTTCAAGGTTCCCTTCTAGAAAAATCACCAAACTCCCCAAAAGGGTACCGTTTCATTGCGAGCGCCCAGGGGGTCCGCTAATTGATGTTGCCCCACTTGCCCCACTTGCCCCACTTGCCTTTCCAGAAGAGCTAATTGATGTTGCCCCACTTGCCCCACTTGCCCCACTTGGTGGCCCGGAAAAGCTAATTGATGTTGCCCCACTTGCCCCACTTGCCCCACTTGCCCCACTTGCCCCACTTGCCCCACTTGCCCCACTTGCCCCAGTTACCCAGGCAGCAGGGATTACTCCTGAGGCAAGTGGGGCAAGTGGGGCAAGTGGGGCAAGTGGGGCAAGTGAGGCAAGTGAGGCAAGCGCCCCCCCCCCCCCTCGCCTCGCCGCGCCACAAGTCTGCCTCAAATCAGGCTGCGTTTGAGGCAGACTTATGGTTGTAGGGCAGGCCCTAGCCAAGTAGAACCTTGAGTGCTGTTGGACCCTAAAATGACCCTAAAATGACCAACCTAGCCACACGTCTGCCTCAAATCGGGCTGCATTCAAGGCAGACCTGTGGCTGGGGCTGGTTGGGGGCAGACCCTAGCCAAGTAGAACCTCGAGTGCTATTGGACTCGGACAGACCCTAAAGTAACCAACCAGCCACAAGTCTGCCTCAAATCTCGCTGCAATTGAGGCAGACTTGTGGCTGGGACTCGTTGAGGGCATACCCTTGCCATGTAAAACCTCAAGTGCTATTGGACTCGGACACACCCTAAAATGATCTGGGGCCAGTAGGGCAAGTGGGGCACGTGAGGCAAGTGGGGCAAGCGCCCCCCCCCCCTCCCCCCACCCCTTGGCCTCGCCGCGCCACAAGTCTGCCTCAAACCTGGCTGCCACTTGCCCCGCTTGCCCCACTTGCCCCACTTGCCCCACTTGCCCCACTTGCCCCACTTGCCCCACTTGCCGCGCTTGCCCCGCTTGCCCCACGCCCCACTTGCAGGGTGGGCTGGGGTAGGAGGGGGGCGAGTGGGCAAGTGGGGCAAGTGGGGCAAGTGGGGCAAGTGGGGCAAGTGGGGCAAGCGGGGCAAGTGGCAGAAATCACTTAGCGGTTAAGGCAGGGCAAGTGGGGCAAGTGGGGCAAGTGGGGCAAAGTGGTTTTCGGTAAGGGAGCACAGCAAGTGGGGCAAGCGGGGCAAGTGGCAGAAATCACTTAGCGGTCCCCGTTTGCACGCGCACTGTACCGTTTTTTAAAAAGATGGTTTCTGTGCTACCAAGGTATTGATTACGCCTTCCATCATGAAGGATGAAACGCCAGCAACGGTGTTCCAGCTCCTGGGGCGGGCTGGCCGGCGGGGCCTCTCGAGCCGGGCCGACGTGCACGGAAACGCGGCCTTCTTTGAGATCCTTGGGGACCAAAATGAGCCCTGAACTTGGGGGTCATAGACCCTACACTTACGATAATTCCTATGGGTATGAGCCCTAAACCCTTTTAGGGCTCCATTTGGTGCCCAAGGATGCTTCACAAAGCATTGCTGGGCCGCATGGACATCTTCCACGCGGAGAACGCGCTCTTCCGTGAGGTGTGGGCGGCTGCGGGACTGCCGAGGCTTGTAGCCACAGCCAGCCAGACGACCTCTTTCACAGAAGCTAGGTAGGCCCTTGGAAAGTTTTTTGAATACTTTCCCTTCTTGGGTTTACGAGGACCATACTTAGGAATTAAGCCAACCCCTTATTGGGTGTAAGAGGACGACACGTAGGAATTATTATTCAGAGGGTTTTAAAGGGCCACCCAAGGAAGCAGTTGGCAGCGACTGGCCGAAGGAGCTTGAGCCCTCGAACGACAGCTGCGAGGTCTGCGACATACGCAGGACATCCACGGAATCCACCGTGGACCCCCATGAGCTGCATGCGGAGCCGCTGCGTGCGGACGCAGCAGATGTCCCAGCTCAGCCACAGACTTGGGAGATTCCCGGCGCCCCCAGCGCAAGTCGTGGGAAGGAAAGTGTTGAGACCTCGCGCGACTCATGGTTCAGCTGGGCTCAAAGGGCCTGGGCCTCGTGCTGTTGCGTTTCGCGCCCTGAGCGCATCCGCTGAAAGATGGTGAATACAGATGAATACAGTACCACAGTACCATTGAATTTGAGATGTGTCGTAAAGTTCCATGACTGCAAGGGCTTTCTCACCGGTAGCTTGCTTTGTCATGCTTCCTCCAGAAAAGGATGCCCGTGCTGGGATCGCTGGACTTGGGACGTGTAGGTGTTAATTTCGTCGTTCGGCACTTGCCTGCACATGCTGATGGCAGGGTTTCCCACAATAGGGGTACCCTTTAAAGCCCCCAATAATTAGAATCCTGATTTATTCGAACCCCCAAAAAGGGTATCCTTATCTTCGGAAACCCCCATGTTGCCTGCGCACGACGAAATTCCGGAGGAAAGATCTCGGCGAGTTTGACGCTGAGGAGCTGAAGCGCTACATCCACCAAGTGAGTGCAGTGATGCGGGAGTTTCCGATAATCGGGGACCCTTGAATATGAACCCGAAATTATGGGATCCCCTTATAACATGCATCCCAACAAGGCACCCCAAAGTTCGCATGTCAGCATGCAGCGTGCCTACTATGCTTCCAGGCTCTGCCAATGCTAAATCAAATCTCGAGCCGGCACCCTAAACCCTAAACTTAAACCCTTAACCCTTAACCCTTAACCCTTAACCCTTAACCCTTAACCCTTAACCCTTAACCCTTAACCCTAAACCCTAAACCCTAAACCCTAAACCCTAAACCCTAAACCCTAAACCCTAAACTCCTATGTAGGATAAGGGGGACCCTTGAAAAGGGGACCCTTCTAAACTCTCTTCTGGCTCTCTCAAACAGGGACCTTATTCAGACACCCACGCGTCCTCTGCTGCTGGCGGCCGGCCTTCATCGCTACCGAGGCGTAGACGTCCGCTGGCCTGGGAGTTCAATCGTTTATTGAATTAGGGTTTAGGGTTTGGGGTTTAGGGTTTAGGGTTTAGGGTTTAGGGTTTAGGGTTTAGGTATATATCGACTATACAAGGTATATATAGGGGTTGTGTAGGGGATAAAGGGTCCCTTCTAGCGGTCCCTCCTTTTGCCCGTTAAGTTTAGGAACCCTAGACCTTTTTAGGGTTTAGGGTTTTATGGTTTAGGGTTTCTTGGGAAGTTAGTTAGGCATATTAAGGGTTCTTACCGGCGTACACTTTACGGGTTCTGCCGGCCCCAGGACAGGAAAGGAGGTTGGGTGGGGGAGCGGGGGGAGTTGGGAGGTGAGGGGGGGGGGTGGGGGTGGGGAGGGGCGGGGGCGGGGGTCTGCCCCTCCACGGCATCGGTTTGCAGCCTCCTCCAAGCGATTGGAGGGGGTCCGACAGGGCGGGGGGGGGGGGGGGGGGGGGGGGGTCGCGTCACAAAATTTTGTCTTAAACATTACATAAGAAAACACCCTGAGTACGCTGCACGTCTGGTGGCTGCGCCAACGCGCTTTGCATCACACTTCGCGATTTTCCAAAAGAGTATCGGCAGCGCATGGCAGACCCAAAAAAAAACCCTAAACCCTAAACCCTAAACCCTAAACCCTAAACCCTAAACCCTAAACCCTAAACCCTAAACCCTAAACCCTAAACCCTAAATCCTAAACCCCAACCCCTAAACCCTAAACCCTAAATTCCCACTCAGAATGTATCCCCGGAGCCATCCTGGCATTCAGGGTTCAGGCAAGGCCCTACAACCACAAAACCCTGCAAACCCTGAAGCGGCAAACCCGAACATCTGCAGACCTTTGCTTGGGGAGGAGGGACCAGACGGTTTCAAGTGGGTGGCTTCCCCAAAAAGAGTCTTGGAAGGTGTTTATACGAACCCTGCCCTGTTTCTTATAGGCGTACATCAACAGAAGCTGCTTACCTGGAACTGCTATTTTAGTCGAGCTTAAGGTTTAAGGTTTAAGGTGTAGGCTTTGAACCCTGCCCCCCTGCGCCCTAAACCCTAATCCCTAAACCCTAAACCCCAATTCCTAAACCTCCACCCTAAATCCTCAGCCCTAATCCCTAAAGCCTCGATCCATGTTCCATTTCTTTTCGCGTTCGTCATGACATGACAAGGTCGTGTGCATATTTGAGCATACCTGTGCTATCCTATGCTGTTCGCCATGTGCCTGTTGCTCTACACCAGGCTCTTTGAGTAGCTTGTGTCCGTAGTCTGTCGCACCCAGGACTTCAAATTCCATGTATGCCGTGCGCCTGGCAGTTTTGGCATGGATTTGTGCCCTTCACGGCACGTACGCTGCAAGAACAGCAGCGGAACATGTTACACGTGCACAAAAAGACAGCTTCGAGCTTGAGCTTGAGAGGAATTTCTCAAGTCCAGGCGCAAGTGCGAATGCGACGGGTCCAGAACAAGAAGGGAAGAAGAGCAAGACTGAAGATGAGACGGCAAAGCTCGATGCATCAGACGCCGACCCTGTCGAGACAGCAGGCGCTGTGTTGCTATTGCTTAGTAGCTGAGTAGGAACCTTTAGCCCTTTGGGGTATTACATAATTCTACCATAATGAAAAGGTTAACCTTTTTTGCCCCAGGGTATTCAGCAACAGCAGGCACCGTGTTGGTATTGAATGCCTCCGACATGTCGAGGATGAAGCTCGAACAAGGCCCGGGCGGCGGCACCGTCATCTCAACTGTAATCTCAACTGCCAACAACTCAGCTGGCCTCGGGAAGTTTCATTCTGGCCAACTTGTCAGATTAGGCGGACATTATGTGCGCTATTCGCATCCTTCGGTGGTTCGGTCGGTCTGGGCCAGAGCACTCAATGAAACAGGTGGCCATGGTATCACCGCTATGCTCATGGAGGGGGAGGTTGACTCAGTTGAAGATCTGATGATTCTTGTGGGAGTGATCCCCGCACTTGCGTCTCTCTACGTGGCAGTGATCGCGCTGCCCTGGTTCATTGGCGAGGTTATTGTCTTTGGCAGAATACTGTCAGATGCCAAGCCGCCGACGTGGCCTGAGACCAATAAGCCTTGGGAGCAGGAGAACATTATGACCAAATTCGAGCAAGTCGAGCAGAAACTGGGAATCACGACACAGCCGCCATACAAGCTGCAACCCTTTCATAGTCAATGGCAACCCCCCAAGCATTTACATTTTCTGAACATGATTGGCAATCAGTACCTGTGGGGGGTGGTCATTCTTTTTCAAGCTGCCTACCTTGGCAAAGTGTTCGTTTTCAACATACAGTTCCTGTTGGTCGATCCGACATCAGTATCAGTGAGCTTTGCAGTCGCTTTCCTGGGGCTTGTTGAGGCCATCTCCGTTTCTTGTGGCGTGAAATGGGCACAGACAAACGACCTAGCAAGTGCCGGCAAGGAGTTTCATTGCCCCGTGCCCAAGGATGTCGAACTGAAACAACGGTTGGAACAGCAGATGCTCAGTTGCATGGTGCCATGTTTCGTGAGCATGTGTCTCTTAGTAGCTGAATGAGTACACTTTGCACTTTTTGGGATGCTATAACCCCCTATAGAACTGATCGTGTACGCTTCTTTGGGGGCTTAGGAACTCAGCAACTAAGGTCTTCTTTTTCCGATTGGATTCTTCAAAGCGCACGCGCTCTTCTTGATCGTCGTCGGCTCCACACCCGGCTTCATGCCACTAGTGTCTAACATGGTTTGGGATCTGAGCCTCGGTAGCCCCGTGGTACCGCTCTTCTTTTCTGTTCAAGGTTCCGGGCCCTTTTTTCCCTACTTTTGTTTTTGGTTCAAGGTTCCCCAATAAAGTAACCAACACAAAAATGGGGTGCCCTCCATTGTAATACGGTTACTGGGCTACCGAGGAACAGAGCCCTCGTGAAGATGGCTATGTTGGGGTTGATGCTGCATGTGTGCCTCCTTGCTCGGATTGCCAAGACGCATGTGGAGGCGCTGAAGCAAGAAGTGGTTACTGTCTACGTCAAGCAGAAGGAGGCCACGGCCGACACTACGAGCAGTCATGGCCAGTTCAACAAGGAGCGCATGGAGCTGGTGCATGCCTATGTCGTAAAAGTGGCCGTCTTGATCTTGCCACGCTTGCCCTCGGTGGGAATGGCAGCAGTGGTGTCTGTGGCCTGCAGCCTTGTGAGGACGCTGTTGGTGATTCTGACGTTCCTTACTTCTGAGCGCTCCGTGTCAGAGCTGTGGTACGTAATTGCCCGAATGATAATCGAGTTCTCTGGAGCTATGTGCTTACTTCCACTGACAGAGGTATCAAATGCTTGCGATGACCTACAGCCGGAGCTGAACAAGCTGAGGGCTGTGAGCAAGCCAGATGACGACAAGCACATTCGCAGGACTGAGGCGTACATCAAGAAGGCCAACGAAGGACAGGGACTTGGCTTTGTGCTGTATGGCGTTGGCATGGTGGTAAACCGCCGCATCCTGGTTTCAGTGGGCGTCAAAATCGTGACGTTCTCTTCGATAGGCCTGACCCTTGCCAAGAGGTAGCTTAGGGATATTGGAAACAAATTTTCATTCTTGGGTTCTATAAGTCCTAAGAAACAGCTAAAATTAGAATTCATGGGTACTATAATTCCTAAGAAACAGCTAAGAATTAGAATTTTTGGGTACTGTAACTCCTAAGAAGCAGCTAAAAGTTAGAACTCTTGGGTACTATAATTCCCAAGAAACAGCTAAACATTAGAGTTTTTGGGTACTATAATTCCTAAGAAGCAGCTAAAAGTTAGAATCTTTGCTGGGTTTCCGAGTTCAGTAGAGGTACATCGAAGACCAAAAGCACTACATGGCTGAGTACAAGACCTCCTGAGAGGCTGAGGGTTCCTTAGGGGTCTCTGGCTCCCCCGAGCTGAGGGTTTAGGGTTTAGGGTTTAGGGTTTAGGGTTTAGGGTTTAGGGTTTAGGGTTTGGGGTTTAGGGTTTAGGGTTTAGGGTTTAAGGTTTAGGGTTTAGGGTTTAGGGTTTAGGGTTTAGTGTTTACCGATACAAGGCAATCTTCCTTATATGGGCAACATAGGATGATGATCTTTCATTTTTTCTTGGGGGGGGGTTAAGCAAGTAGTAGCAATGTCTCCAGGCTTTCTGTCGGTCTTAGGCTTTACTGCTTCAGGGTTTGCACCCTAAACCCTAAGCCCTCAACCCTCAGCCCTCAGCCCTCAACCCTCAACCCTCAACCCTCAACCCTCAACCCTCAACCCTCAACCCTAAACCCTAAACCCGAAACCCTAAACCCTAAACCCTAAACCCCAAATCCCAAAATGACCCGGAAACTTACATTCTGAATGGGGTTAGGGTTTAGGGTCTAGGGACCCCTGGTACGATGTAAGGAATCTTCTCTACAGTGGGTCCTGAGCCATGCCCGACTCGTAGGCGAAGAGGCCCAGGATCCTTACTCCCGATCCCAACAACCCGAACAGTTTGGGCCTAAGGCCTAGGGCCTAGGGCTTAGGGCTTAGGCCTTAGGGTTTAGCGTTTAGGGTTTAGGGTTTAGGTTGACGAAGTAGTGATGGTTTGACCACCCGCCACCCCAGCGCCAACACAGCAGGTACTGGGGTTAAGGGTTTAGGCAGGGTTAAGGGGGTTAGGGTTTAGGGGTTTTGGATTAAGGGATGTAGGGTTTAGGGTTCAGTGGCTCCTCTGTGCCAGGGATAGCTGGGCACGACTTATCCCTTCTATGAGGGAATAGGATTTAGGGTGTTGGGTCCAGGAAGCCTAGGGAATCTAGGGCAGAGGTTCAGGTCGGGAGTCTGGGGTCCCAGGAAAAGAGTTAGGGTTTAGGGTTTGGGGTTTTAGGGTTTCGGTGTAGGGTTTAAGGTTTAGGGAGAAGGTTGAGTGCTTTTCACATTGAGGATGTTCCTCATCCGGGCAAAGTGAAGGATCCGGGACCCTCGCTTCGGGGTTGTACTAGGGTCCGGGCTTAGGATTAGGGGTGCCTAAGAAATTCACCCTTCACCCAAAACCCTAAACCCTAGACGCTTTCCCTAAACCCTAAACCCTAAACCCTAAACCCTAAACCCTAAACCCTAAACCTCTAAAGTCGCAGGAGCTGTGCTTCCGCCAGTGCAAATAGTCGTCAGGAACCAGGAGATGCCCAGGTCCAGGGCGGCAGATATGGGGGTTTTGGGGTTTCGAGGTTTAGGGTTTAGGGTTTAGGGTTTAGGGTTTAGGAGTACCTTATTGGGGTCCCTTATTTTCGTAAACCCCCCATATGGGTGTCGTAAACGAACGGGCCAGGAAAAGAGTCCCGTTAAAAGGGAGAACCCTTAGACCAAAACTGAAGCCTGAGCCTGGTGGTTCTTGAGTCTTCCAGTTTTTTTTGTGTTGAGCTTGGGGTAGAGAGGGCGGGCCGGAGGAGGCGAAGCGACAGTGTATTTGGGTTTAGGGTTGCCCTAGACCCGAAACTCCAGGAGGTTTCTCATTCTGCTGGTGCTCTGTTCTTGAATGAGCAGATGCCCAGAAGCCATGGTTTTGCAAAAATCTTAGGGCTCCAAAAGCCGAAAAAGCCTGGAACCGACATCTTATCACCCAGAACCCGACTTCAGTAGTCAATTCCCGTAGCAGCCAGTCTGTATCCCACAAGATCGATGAACACGGGCAAGAATAATTGTATGTCTAGGAATGCGGCGAGAGAACAACAAGTGCCCAACCGAATTACACTACAGTAAATGAGAGTTGAAAGCGGGGTTTAGTGTGGAGTTCGCACAGAAACCGGACGAGTGCTTGCAGACAACCAGTCCGCTCAAGCATGCATAGCCCTAAACCCTAAACCCGAAACACTAAACCCTAAACTACCCTAAAGCCCAAACCCTAAGCGGGCACTTCCCAACCCCGAAGTCGACGTCGAAGTCGTTCAGGGCTCGAACTTGATCTGTAGGTTGCCGCCATCATCATAATGTCATAGCCAGGGCTGGCCCTTGAGTCTGGCCAGCAAGGATTTGAAATGGCATGCAAAGCACCGACACTCCTGGTGTCACCGCCCCGGCTGTTGCCCCAGCTGTCCACCCTGGACAAGGAAGAGAGCCAGCAACGCACGCTTTACTGGCTGCCAGTTTTGGCCTTCGGGCCTCTATTCATGGCAGTTATCTGCGAGGGCATGCGTGCGGCGGCCTGCCGGACGAAGAAGCAAGAAGCAATACATCCGGAAGACTCTGGCAACTACAAGTATTCGCCAATCAACTTGATGGAAGAAGAGGCTTCCCCGCCGATTTCACAATCCTCAGACGCAGAGGTTTTGCTCCGAGATCGCTGGCCCCGCCGCTTCAGCCTTGCATTGATACTCTATCATGCCTTCTGTGCCTCCTTGGTGCTTCTTGCGCTGAGCAGCGGATGGACGACTGTGGCAGGGGGTGGGAGTTTTGCATGGGAGCTGTGGGCAGTCTGGCAGCATGCTTGCCTGTGGGCGCTTTTCGTGCAGAGTCTCTTGCGTTGCAAGAGATCTAGTCTAGACGGCCTCCAGCAACCAACGTTCAAGACGGTGTTGCTATATACTTGTCCCTTTCTAAGCGAAGTGGCTGACACGCTGAAGGATTGGGTTGTGTGCGGCATCTGTTTGCAAGTGACAGCCACAGGAGCTGGCTGTTGGTACGGAGCTTTATTCGTGACCACTGACCTGCTTACACGCTTCAGCAACTTCAGCAGTCGTTTCTTCCGCTTCGGCGACTTCAGCAGTCTCTACGTCAGATCCGTCTCTCCAGCACTGTGCCTTGCATTGTGCATTGGACAAGGCATAGTCCCAACCCAGTTGTTTTTCTTACCCTTTTTGGTGGGGCTCGCCTATTGGCCCACGACGGCGAGCAATCTGCTCATAATGGCATTCTCTTACGCAAGGCTCAGTGGGAATCTACCAGATCGGCTTTGGATGGACGGAGGATTTCTGTTTGTCGCAGCCACGTATGTCATCGTCCTGTCACATGTGATGGTTTTATCGCAAGATGGATGTGCCCATGAGCTACGACGAACCTACAGGGGCATCCTGGCTCTTCCCATGGCGAAACCAGTGCCAGCTCCTGAGAGCTGTTCGGGGCGGTTTCTGCTGATTGGGCGTTTTATTGCGGAAGATGTTCTGAGCAATGCGAGACGTTTTCTTTCATGGGCAGAGGATTTACCCCAGGGCATCATCGGAGTTGCGCTAGCTGTTGCTTGCCAGCAAGGCCAGTCCAGTGTGTTTGGATTTGCGGCCTTGTCGGCTTTTGTGAGCGTTGCAAAAGGTACCTTGACACCAGCAGGGCAGAGCATACTCTTGGAGTTTCAGCTTGACCAGCTTCGCAAACATCTGCACATGGATGGATTCGTCAAGTCTATCGGCCCTCAGTTCCCTGGTCTCTCACAAAGCCCAGAAGAGTTGAAGCTCAACATCTGCGTCTCGCTCCAGGATTATGCCATGTCGGTACCAACAATGTACATGAGATTGCGGAAGCTTGAGATTTACGAGACGGTCTTTGAAACAGCTCGGCAGTGGCCTATGCAGTTCACAGACGAAACTGGTGGAAGCTTTTCGGAGGAAGCAGTGCGTGAGCTATACGCTGGGATTGTTAGTGCGAAAAGGCAGCATGCTTTCAACTTGCAGAAAGTCTTGGACGAAGGGTTCGCCCCCTTGGCATGCAAACGCGGTGGCTATCGCAAGGAACAGTTTCTTGAATGTGGCTATTATGGGTTCGAGTTTGACGAGGAAGACTTCCTTACCGCTGCAGGTCGTAACGAAATCAGTAGGGTTGCCGCCGGCAGGAACAGGGGTGTCAAGCTACAAGAAGCCTTGCTCGAAGGGTTCACTCCCTTGGCATGCAAGCGCGGTGGCTATCTCGAGGAGGAGTTTCTTGAATGTGCCTATTGCAGGTTCGAGTTTGACGCGGGAAAGTTCCTCTCCGCTGAAGAGCGTAACAAAAGCAGTAGGGCTGCCAAGGACAACAGAAAAAGGGGCATCAAGTTAGAGCATGTCTTGCGACAAGGTCTCTTGCCCTGGGCATGCAAACAAGGTGGCTATCGCAAGGAGGACTTTCTTGAATGTGGCTACTCCGCAGATGAGTTCGAAGCATTGCGTGCTCCCGTCCGACGAAGCGTCGTGGAGGACGGTTTCTGACATGTGGCTGCTGGAAAGCAGATTGTAAAGATGAGATCATTGAGAACGCCATGCACGTTAGAATGTCTGAGAGAGCTGCCGCGATGTAACCAAAAGAAGCAGCTAAACTCCATTTTGCACACGTTGAGTCTGATTGATGATTGTACCAGTCAGGACATGCCGGCAGGCCGTGCTTTCTCTTTGATAATGCAGGCGCTGAATGACCCCTATACCAAAACCCTAAAGCTTCAGCTCTGAATCCTAAACCCAAACGCTGCACCCAGCCTCCATAGTTGCCGCACCCCTCATGGGTATGTCTGCGGCGCTGCAATCTTGTTGGGGTTTCGACGTTTTCCCGCGGGTTGGGCCCCTACGGTAGGGGCCAGTAGTAGTATCGTGGAGTATGTTGCAGAGGTATTGGCCGATTCACCACAACTTCTGCAAAAGCTTGAAGCGGGGCTCGAGTTCCCGATAACATTTGGCCACAAGGGTGGAGGGGTCCCGCTCCTCCCCACAAGCCCTAAACCTAAACCCTAAACGGCTCATTGCAACCTCAACCTGAGTCTGTCTGCCCCGCAGCCTCCGGGCTTCGAGACAGTTGGAGACGGCTTCAAAGGGGGGGGTCCACTTTCATTCTCATACTGCTACTGTTATAACCCTGAGAACCCAAAATGCCCTAAATCCTAAAAAAGCAATACACTAAGCCCAAAAACTCTAAACATCCCTGAGCCCTGCAGCCTTCAGGTGACCTGGGAGTTCACTCTCCGGCCGCCGGTGAGCCGTGGAGCATGAGCAGGTTTTACGCAGAGACCCGGACCTGCTTCTATCCGAAAACCGAAGCATTACAGCCTACCTAGCCAATGTGGTTGAACTTCAAACTTCATGATTTTATAGGAACAATACAAAGTGAACTTCTTCCGTTTATTGGAGAAGCAAGAATAGGTTTTGTTTCCCAAAATTAGGGGTCTCTTCTAGAATTGGTATTCTACTTTTCTTCGGGCACAAATGAGGATGAGCCTGCCAAACATACCACCCTCCCCCGCGCTGGTTAGGGTTAGGGTTTAGGGTTTAGAGCTTCGTGCGCTCCGCAGTGGTCAGTGTAAATTTGCTACTCTCAAATGTTCCTTGGGGCTGCGGGTGTACCCCCGGCCTTTATTCGAGTATTGCGATCCAATTCAATAGCTCATTTGGCGTCGGACATGGAAAGGATTTGCAACGGTTTGAAATCCTGTTCTCTTCACAGGCAGACCCGTATTGCTTTTTGAAGAGGCTTCTTAGTTCAAAAAACTGACGCTCAATCAAACCCACAAAGGACTCAAGTTGTGGGCTCTACCCCTCTCCAGGCCCTAAGCTTGGCTCCAGTCGCCTTAGTTGGCACTCAGCCGGCTTCTTGCAAGGAAGCCTTGTGCACGTAGAAGCTCGCTTGCCCAAGGCCCTAGAAACGGGTTCGCACGACCTCGAGCCCCAAAAAGCCCAGAACCTAAAACCTCCAAATGAAAGCGTTTAGGGTTTGGGCAAGTCTGGGTTTAGGGTTTAGGGATTGGGGTTTAGGGTTCATGCTTGTGACGCATGTTCATGCTCGCTGCTCAGGGGACTCATGCTGAGGACATGCCGGCAGAAGGATCGTGGAGTCTAGATCATGCCAGTATCTACGTCATCCTTTTGCAGGTCCACTCCCGGTACAAGGGCTAGACTCTCATGACCCTAAGCCCCACGACCCCTAAACCCTAAGCCCTAAACCCGAAATCCGAAACCCTACACCCTAACCCTAAAACCCTAAAACCCTAAAACCCTAACCCCTAAACCCTAAACCCTAAACCCTAAACCCTAAACCCTAAACCCTAAACCCTAAACCCCAAGCCCTAAACCCTAAAGCCTAAACCCTAAACCCAAACCTTAAACCCTAAACCCTAAACCCTAAACCCTCAACCCTCAAGCCCCTGGCACACCCTTCGAAAGCCTCCAACCCTCAGCCCTCCAAAAGACCCTAAACACTAAACACTAAACACCTATATAAGCCCTAAAACCCTGAAGCCCTAAACCCTAAACTCTAAACCCTAAAACCCTAAACCCTAGCCCTAAACCCTAAACCCTAAACCCCTGGCGCAGTGAAACCAACAGTAAGTAACCGCACCCAACTCTGCGCCTCGGCCCCGTATGGAAGCCGCCCCACCATGGTCCTGGAGCAGCTGCAGTGGCTGGGCTTTCGGGTTTAGGGTTTAGGGTTTAGGGTTCAGGGTTCAGGGTTCAGGGTTTAGGGTTCAGGGTTTAGGGCCGTGAATAATATGGTTACAAGGGAACGCGTGAATCATATGAATGAACGTGTGAATGGGGCAAAAACCCAATATTATAACTACGAAGAGAATTAATGAAAGCACTAATGAACGAAAGTAGAGAATTAGTGCAGTGAATTAAAGAACGAAGTAAAAGAGTGTAGAGGACAATGTGAACAAGTGAATGAAAACATGCAATGAACGAGTGAACATGTGAACGAAACTGCCGCCGTCTCCAGGATTCATTCTATCTTTACAGGGTTTAGGATTTAGACTTCAGGGGGATGTTAAGAACCCTAAACCCTAAACCCTAAACCTCCCGAAAAGGGGCCCCTGAGCAGATCCGACCCGAAATTCTGGAGCTCTAACTCCTACAGACCCCGAAGCCCGAAACACAACAGCACCAAACGCCCTAAACCCCGAAACCTTAAACCCAAAACCCTAAACCTTCAGGGAACCAAACCCGAAATGCTGAACCCTAACCCCTAAGCTCTAAACCCTAAGCCCTAAGCCCTAAGCCCTAAGCCCTAAGCCCTAAGCCCTAAGCCCTAAGCCCTAAGCCCTAAGCCCTAAGCCCTAAGCCCTAAACCCTAAACCCTAAACCCTAAACCCTTTCAAGAAGCTTTCGGCCTCCCCCGCCGCGTCAAGGCAGCGCCCGATCCTGCGCCCGCACGCCCGTGCGGACGCCCTTCAAGAGGCGGCCAGGGCTTGGGGATTCGGGTTTAGGGTTTAGGGTTTGGGGTTTAGGGTTTGGGGTTTGGGGTTTGGGGTTTGGGGTTTGGGGTTTAGGGACTTGTATTCGCTTGATTTCGCATCGCTCGGTTTTTTTTGCGCAATCGGCGTCCACATTGGGGAACTGCATTCCCCAGAGTATATCCCCTGATGTGTCGAAGTCGGCCTCGTTGTTCTGGATCGGCGGGGAGCCCCAGAGTATATCTCCTGATGTGTCGAAGTCGGCCTCGTCGTCATTTTCGCAGCATCTACATGCTCTTTTGCATGCTGGCAGCGCCTTTCCTAAGGCCTAGCCCCTCGGCCCAAAACCCGACACATCGATCGGCGTCCACATTGGGGAACGGCGCTCACCAGATTGTATCTCTTGATGTGTCGAAATCGGCCTCGTGCAGGCTTCTACATGTCTTCGGGAGTTGCAAGTTAAGTAGCGGATGATTGGTGGGGGGTGGTCTCGGTCACCCTGATCACCGCGACAACTCGACCAACCCCCGGCAGTGTTGGTTTAATCGAATTAGGGATTCCTCAGTTAGGTGATTTTCTAGCGTCTCCCCGGTGATTAGCTGTTGAAACAAACGTGCTGAAAGCGCTGGCGTTCGCAGCAAATCCGGCAGTTTGACCCATGTTGGCTTTTTGCCTAAATTCCAGCGTGTACTTGGGGATTGCTGTGTCGTGATGTGTAATTCCGCCGCTGATGTGTATTCATGCTATGTAGCGTGTGCAATGGGGTGATGTGTATTTCTCGCGACCTGATGTGAGATAAGCCCGCCGCAAGTACGGCTTGAGATTAAGGGCTTCGGGCTTCGGGCCTAGGGATTCAGGGCTTAGGCTTAGGGCTTAGGGTTTAAGGGCTCAGGGCTTCGGGGATTCAGGAATGACTCAAGGCTTCGGGCTTGGAGATTCAGGGCTTAGGGCTTAAGGGCTTAGCGCTTAGGGATTATGGGCTTAGGGATTAAGGGCCTAGGGCTTAGGGCTTAGGGCTTAGGGCTGAGGGTGTCGAGTCTTGAGGTTCGGCTAATGGTTTTTTGAGGTAGCCCTGGAGTTTTAATTAGGGTTCAGTAAGGCTGCGGGTATGAGTTGAACGGACAGCCATCCACCGAAGTAGCTCAAGCCATCTCAAGCCCTAAACTCTGACACCCTGAGCCCTACTCTCTAAACTCCTCAGCCCTAAGCTCCACAACCCTAGACAACCTTCCTACACCCTAAACTGCGAACGGACCCCAATCGCAAAGAGCTCATAAACCCTCCTTGAAGGCCCATCCCGAGAAGCCGAAAACCCCTAAAGCCCCAACATCCATGAACCCCTAAACCCTAAACCGTGAACCCTAAACCCTAAACCCTAAACCCAAAACCCTAAACCCTAAACCCTAAACCCTAAACCCTGAACCCTAAACCCCTAGACCCAAGGCCCTGGAGGCCCTAAATGCCCTAAAGTCCCTGAAGTCCCTGAAAGTCCCTGAAGTCCCTAAGCCCTAAGCCCTAAGCCCTAACCCCAAACCTCAAACCCTAAACCCTAAACCCTAAACCCTAAACCCCAACCCTAAACCCTAAACCCCAAACCCTAAACCCCAAACCCCAAACCCTAAACCCTAAACCCTAAACCCTAAAGTCCCTGATCCCTTAAACCCTTTGGGTGGAGCTTGGCCAGGTCTGGGCCGCGTGCTGGGGAGGCCGGGCCGTTTCTTTTGGATGTTTTTTCAAGCCTCTTTTGGGAAGCTTTTTGGAGTTCAGGGTTTAGGGTTTAGGGTTTAGGGTTTAGGGTTTAGGGTTTAGGGTTTGGGGTTTTGGGTTTTGGGGTTAGGGTTTGGGGTTTGGGTTTAATTTTTTTTTCGGGCTTTTGGGGTGTTTTGGGGTTTTGGGGCTTGGGCCTTCCCTAGACCCCCTCCCCGCTCCCCCCCCCCACCAAAACCCAAAACCCAAAACCCCCAAAACCCAAAACCAAACCCCAAAAAAAACCCAAAACCCAAAACCCAAAACCCAAACCCAAAACCCAAAACCCAAAACCCAAAACCCAAAACC